AAGGATAGGGAATAGAAAATAGCTAAACAGAAAATGGAACAAGTGAATCAGCTTTCAGTTCTATGTGTGTTAAAAATTTAAAAAAAAGTTTCCAATTTTTCTGTTTAATCTATTTAGAATTATATTTAAAGAAAGTCAATGTTGCATTTACTGTGGAATGCTATTTCAATGAATGAAGAAATTCTTACTAATCAATGTTTTCACTGTATGGTTTCCATAACAAAATAATTTTAGTGAACAGGGGTGTTTAGCTGGTTAGTGAGGTTCTAAGATTACTTCACATGGCTTTATTATTAGTTTTTACTTGTTTCCTTATATATTATTTTGCTTTTATCAAAACATTTTAACCAATTCAGCCTTTGGATACTAAACAGTAGGAATTAAGAATATACAAGTAACATTGAATGAAAATCCAACCTCAGAGGCTTATCTTTCATGGACAATGCCTAAACCAATTAAACTACCAAAGTTACCATGATTAGTCAAAGTTCTCATTTTTAGTTTTTCTGCCATCATCCTTTACTTCTAATTCTAGTTTATGCTGTATTGTTGACTATTGTAGTATTATTCCTGCTATTAAATTTTTTTTTCATATTCTTAGATAAATATTCTTTATTTCTAGTTGAAGAATGACTCGGCTAAAAACATCATGATAAATAGGAATCAGGTGTAAAATGAAAATATAACTTGTTGCTAGAGTCTGCATTGGGTACTTAATCCTCTCTTTCTTACTGCCTGGTATACTGATTTATAATCTGCATTTCCTGCTCTTAATTCTCCTTATTGGAATAATGTGGCTAACCCTGATCTCACCATCTTTTCCCACTGACATTTAGAGATAGTTGTGACAAAGATCAAGTTGTGCATGTTTTCACCAATCACAGGAACATGGTACACAATATCAGATATTTTCAACAATTCAGATAATGCATCATTTAAGCATAAAACATATAACAGTTTTACATGAAATATTTACCCTTAGAAAATGTCTTTATTATTTACTAATAACTAAACATAGCAGTTGTGCTCAAAGGAATGTCTGTAATGTTATTGATCCTGGCATCTTGACTTCAGTCACTTTCCCATCACTGTGATATGGCTTCCTTCTGTCTTTTCTATAAATATTTTCCTGGCAGTTGTTCTAATGAGCTTTCCTCCTTGTTATCTTGACTGCATGAATTTAAGTGTACTACTAGATTAGGAACTAAGTCTCATTCCCTCGTTTTACTGTTGAAATGATGTAAACATAAGTTCTATTCTAATAGTTCCTTTTCTTTTACTTTTTACCTATGGAACTCCTGTCCAGTTCCTTGCTTCCCTGTCACCTACAATCTTCAAAACTTTAAATGCAACATCCATCGCCATCTTCTTTCTTGCTGAAATCCGTTCTCTTAGTGCCCTTTCCTTACTAAAGTCTTCTCATTCTCTTTCACTCCCAGTAATCCTTTGCATCTAAAAAAGTAGTTAGACACTGATAAAAATGTGTATACACTTTGGAGGAAACACACGCACACAGATACAAGTAGGTTATAAGTATTTATTAAGCTTATTTTTGTCTGACACAAGGTCACAATAGAATATAACCCAGTGAGATTGACCTCACTACACTGCAAAACTAGAAAGATGCTTAGTATACTAGTATAAATATAAAATTATTTTGCAGCATTCAAATTGTTTAAGTCTGGCTATGTTTGTTTGTACAATAGATATGCATACAAGTATTTAAGATTATTAACATTTGATGATATATTCAGTGTATGTACAGATGTTCACATTTAGATACTTATTTTAACTTTTGTTAATAATCCCTATGCCTTTATTCATATTGTCAAACATTTATCTTTATCTCAAAAGGAAATGAAGGAAATATCCCTGCAAAAATAGTCCTTAGCATATGACCCATGTAGACTGTGTCAGTTTAATTTAATATGCATTCTCCTATATTGTAATGACATTTCTTCAGTGTTCAATTGCTAAAATAATGGCTGACAAGACTGAATATATACTTAGCTGTTTGCTCATGTGAAGTTGATGGACTTTGTTTCCTAATGAAAGTCTGCACAGATTGCTGTCATGTGTATTGCCATGTTCTTTTGTTGAATAAAATTGAATAAGTTCAAGTTCTACATCCACATTTGCTATCTGGATTAAATCAAATGGAAAGTGTGTCAGAGCAGATCTGGACATGGCTAATATTGAGAGCTTTCACTACTAACATCTTGTTCACAGGCTGAATTTGCATAGATATCCAGGATTGCACTTATGGTATCAACTTTATTGACTTCTGGTCATTGGTGAATATAGAACTGAGGAGATTAGCAATTTTCTTTTTGAATATTTAGTATATTATTATAATTACAAGAGTCAGTTGTGAAATTCATAGGCTGACCAAAATACTCTCATGGAATGTGATCAAATGAGGTTTATTTTTCAGCATAATCCCCCTTGTGTCCATATACTTCTTCCATTGGTGTTGCAGTGCTTAGATCCCATTGATGAAGAAGCTTTCATCTTGTTTGATAAAAAAAGTCATTAACAGTAGGCATGATATCATCATCATTGCAATACTGGTTCCCAGCCAAGTGTTTTTCATGTTGGAGAGCAGATAATAGTCAGATGGGGCTAAATCAGAGAATAGGGAGGGTGATCAACCAGTTCAAAGCCACAGCCACATACAGCAGCCATTCAAACCAAGTACTTCTGTGCTATGACCATGGCCTTTTTTTAGAGCAGGTGAGGAAGGGCGTTTCCACTGCTTGCATTGTCTCTTTGTCTCTGGCTCAAAGTGATGAATTCATCCTGAGTTAGGAAATGTTCAAGAAAACCATCTGGATCTGCCTCAAACAATGTCAGATTTTCCCATAATGTGATGAGCCTGGTACAGTTTTGATCAGGTGTTAGAAGATGTATCACTCGCTGAGCACAAACCTTTGTCATGCCAAATTCATTGTGCAAAATATTCTCAACTCTCTCATGAGATATGCTAATATCATTGGCTGTTTGATTTATAATCAATTGCCATGTGGTGAAAACAATGTTTTCCTTGGTGGTGGCAGTTGGAGGACATCCAGACCTTGGGTCATCTTCAAGATTCTCTCTTCCTCTCCTAAATTCAGCTGCACACTTTTGCACTGTTTATGAAGCTGGAGTTTCATACCTTAATGTAGCAGCCATCCTGGTATAAATCTCCTTGGAGGTTAAACCCTTTTTCTGCAGTTACTTGATTATACTATGATGCCAAATTTTGCCCATTTTCAAGAAAAGCTGCTCCTAATTACTTTTGAAGTCTTCTTTAAACAGTCAGGTGTCAGTTTAGCTGGAAAGAAACACTGTAGTTATTAATAAGAAGAGTTGAAATTAGTTCATGCAATATTTCTCAGCTGTAGCATCACTCCTTCCTAGTCAGCCTATGAACTTTTCAGCCCATCCTCATAATGCTCTATTGGCTTAAAGTTTGTAATGGATAATAACAAGAGCTCATCATCAAACCCATTTTTATTTAGCATTGACACTTGCTGTATTATTTATTTGAACAAGGAACTGAAGCTAAAATAATGAACCACTGTTGTACAGACAAAGCAAATATCTTTGATTTCATTGGAATATTACATGTTTATATCCTGTTATGCAAAATGAAAAGGGGATATAAAATGAAAATAATTCAGAATAGGAAGGTTACTTCTCATTCTGAGTGGAATCAGAAAAAATGAGTGACTTTGAATAATTACATAGAAATATGCCTATTATCTCATACAGTTCTGTGAACTTTTTATTTCCTTTAGGAAATTACACAAATTATATATTAAAGCACAATTTTCATGGAATTTACTGAATTCAGGCCTACTTGAAACATGTTTTCATAAAATGAGCTGGTATTTACATCCCAATTGTATAGTTAATTTTGCAAGATGATGAATGCAATGAACGACTATTTAAAAGATTTTATATTATGGTTATTAGTCTTTTGATAATAGTTCACTTGCTATAGAGCATTGGAGGTTGTTGATGATTGGAAAGCCAGTTTAGCCAATGCTGAATAGTTAATCAGGCCCTTATAAATGCTTCATAAATAAAGTCTTGTGTTAATCTACAAAATATATTGAATTACTAAGGATATTGAAATGTCTAATTTCAGTTGATGCAAAATAAACCACTCTACTAATTGAAAAGCCTTTAATAAAATTGTTATATGTTAATGGAAAATTTATCAAGAAAGGGATGTGAATAGTGTGCTTCATTGCACATGCACGCATAAGTGCATGCCACTAAGAAGATTTCTGCTCAGATTGTATCACTGTTATTCTGATTCCAAGATAATCTTTTGACATCTGACTATTAATACAAGAAGAAAAGTTTTTTTTTAAAACAGCTGATGTTATAAACAAATTAAAAAAGGTACAAGAGCTGAAATTTTTTCTGATTTCTTTGTATGAGAATATTTACAAAATAGCAAATTAGAAGATTGTTATTTCTTTTCACATATCTCTCTCTCTCTCATATATATATATATACTTTACAATTGGAATTAAGATACCTTTTAGTTAATGACCATTTTCCCCTACAAATTTTAATTTTAAGATTTGCAGGATTTTTCAGACAGTTTATGGTATCAGTTTGTAGTGATATGCTGTTTAATTGGAGAAAGAAAGTTGTCTCTAAACATGAGGAATGTAGACCCACAGAAGTAAGTGTTAGTAGCAGTAGGTAGTTAAAAGTATGAGAAAAAGAAAGCTGATGATGACATTACTAAAATTAAAAAAATTCAAATTAATGACTGTAAGTATATATTTGTGTAGTATTTTCAATTTCTTCTAAACAAGCTTATTTCCCATTTCAAATCCTACCAGCTTTATATGCTGAAAATTATTTATTACACCAAATTTTCTTTATGGAACACATTTGATGATACAAGTTATCAAGAGATAATTTGATGAAAATCATTTTCTAAGGTTTTAAAAAGAATATTTAAATAAATTTATAGAAATCAGAATATTCTTTTGATGATTATAATATATTTGACTCTCATGCTTTGTATGTATCAGTTTTTATAAGTATTCTGTTGTTAAAGAAGAAAAAAAAAGTAATTTCCTGATTTTTAAATAAGCATTTATTTTAGGTGATATTTAGAAGACTAACTTTCACCATCTATAGAATCAAAGTTCAAGTTATTGATGAGTTATTTTTGTTCTGTCCATGCTTGATAATAAGCTTTATGGCATAGTCTCCAAATGGCTAACTTGGAAATTTTGGAACTGCTTTGAACCAAACTGATAAAATATAGGGACACACAGTGAGGATCAAACTCAGTTTGCTAATACAGTAAGTATCCTGGGTGGGTGTCATGTATCATGGAAATTTAAGCTTTGCGTAGAATCAAACAACATAGTACTTGAAGTCGGATTTAGATGAGGTTGAAGCAGTGAAATTTTGGCTTCTTTCAATATTAAATGGCCAAACAAATGTAGATAGGCAATATTTTAAATTTAACTTTTAAAATTGGATCCAATAAAATTTATTCTGAATCAAAATTTGTAAAACTCAAGTTTATTTTGCAGATCTGACCTTTTTTAGACAAGTTTTTCATCTGTAAAGTAACCCATGACATTCACAATGTTGTATGTATGAGTAAAATGAATAATCTATACCAATGCCATTTGTAGAGTCAAACAGATGATCATTGATAGAATATTAAAACAATAACAAATCACTATCTATAGAAGCTTTTTTATTTCTTTTATTTTTTTTAGGTGATTTCAAGGCCTAAAGTGAAACTTGTATAGCTCCAGTAAGTTTATAACCAATAACAGTCTTCTGCCTGTCTTCCTTAACACCACAATACCTTTATTTTGTAGTTACTTGTACAGCCTCTATACTTTGCTTGTTCAAATAACTAATGCAGATAACATTTTCTACTAATGCTTGTCTAATACTAACAGGACTTGCATCAGAATATTAACAGTTTACACTATTTGTTTATCTTTTCTTCTTTCTGTTTTATCATTACAAAAAAAAACCCTTAGCACAATTTTCCTATATTACAAAAAGATCTCAGATAATGAATTTCTCTGTGCCAGCCAGTCTTGGAAAAAAAAAAAAAACTATCATTGGTTATACACCAGTTACATCCTAAGTAAAAAAAAAAAAATTCAAATCCCTTCATGGTTCTTGACTTCTCATTGCAACTAAAAATAGAACAGTCAGTGAGTTGGAATACAGGGTCACTGACTGGCTGCTGGTAAACAAGCCAAAAACTAAGCTTTTGGGGACGAACTGGAAAGCACTGCAGGCTGACACAACAGATGCTTCTGTTATATCATTGAACACCTATAAATGCCCCAAATTCTACATACAGCCAGTTCTGCCACACACAGTAATTTCTATCCTTACTTATCAGCTAGCCTCAGTGGTTTGTTTCATGCCTCATTGGGACCACACAATTACACCTTGCTCATATACAAAAGCCGACATGTTAATTCTTTGAACACTTACAATGACTTCATTATCACAGAAACAAACATTTGACCAACTTTTCCTTTATGAAAACAGTCTTGTGTATATCAGTATATAAATGGCACTTTTTTGTTAACATCATTTGCTTGAGCTTTTCTCTTTCTTTCACCTCTTACCTGACCAGCAAATAAGACAACTGTTGTCCCCATCAAGTTAGTCTTTCCTCTTGCCCTCTCTTCTTTCCTTCCTTGCCTTAACTACAAATGTATATAGAACACCACCAAAATAGTTTCTTTGAAACTGGAAGGACACCAGCATCAAAACTTTTACCTCTACAGATAAGTTTGATTACAGTGAAATTGTTAATAAGATAAGGCTTTGAAATATGCTTCATTCTTTACAAAAATCTTAACACAAATAAAAGTGGATTTTGCACAAATTTATCCACTTGAAAACTAATTATGCAATAATCATATCAATTATATCCTTGTATTCCATGTTTTCTAACTTCTACTGATGTGTGTGTGGGTTGGTGTAGCCTAATGGTTACTGGTGTGGAAAGTACAATTGGAGAGCTCAAATCAAATTCTGCCTTTCTTAAAAGACATTAATCCATTTTCCCTTACCCACAGCTATGGGTTAAATAGCAGGGTAGACTGAACTCTGTAGCTTTGACTGGTAACCAGTATAGGAGAATGAAAACTGTGGAGAAGGCAATGGCAAGCCACTCTGCTATTTTACCCAAGACACCATGGCAATTATTAGATAATAAAGGAAAGGAACTTGTGAAGAGCCAACATCCTTAAGAGACATGGCATGAAAAAAGCCAAAAACTGATTTACCAATACTATATTCACAAAAAAGGGTCATGAGAAATTTTGCTTCTCTCTACCTTTTTTTTTTTTTTTTTAAAGTTTGTGCAATATTAGACTTGTTTTTGAATGCCATTATGACTTAAAGATTAAAAAGAAAAATATAGTTGGTAGTATCATTAAATATACACTACAATGTATGTGAACATGGAGGCCAATGGAGTACCTGAAAGTTATCCAGTTTCATGCCACCTTTACACAGCAGAGTAGGGGTGTTTGTGTGATCTTGTTAGAACAAACATCACTCCTATAAATGTGTGCAGTGGTTTGCAAAAATATGTCGATGTGATACCTGTGAAGATAGATTATAGTTTTACTAGTGGTCCTCATAAATTTCAACAAATAAATTTCAACAAAATACATCCCAATGCTACCACAGAGTATACACTAACTTGTATAATACCCCTACTAACAAATAAGATCCATAGCCTTATACACTCTCCTCCACACAAACTCTGTCAGATAGAGATTAAAATGTGACTCAACTGACTAGACAACATGGCACCAAACTTCCAAAGTTCAATTACAATGTTCTCTTGCTCAAGAGAGCATAATGATCAAGGCCAAGACTGGACTATGACCTTTTGGGGCCAACTAAACTAATGAAATTATGCTGCCAAATCGAAGCTGCCCTGCAACTCAGCTGCACCCATCTTGAATATCTTTTACTCATATATTTTAGCAACATTTGCATAGCTTGAAGTAAATTTTAAATAAACTAGAATAGCTATCTTTTGTTTGTCAATAAAAATATTCTTTAAGAAATATCACTATTTTACTATTTATTGCAAACCAAATTAGTACATATTTCAACACAACCATAGTAAAAAAAAAAAAAATACAATTTTTTTTTATAACCAGCATTATAACAATAAAACAATCAAAATAAATATGAATTTCTCATACTGATATCATTTCAGTTTATGAAACTATTTAGAAGTTATAACATCTAGAAAATGAAAATAACTGATTTATAGAAATGTCTAAGATTTAAACATTCTAAACTAAAATCAAACATGTTATCTATTTGAAACACAGTAACTCAATCTAAAACATTCTTTGCTTTGCTTTCTGCAAAGTCAAACTAATATGTGTCTGTCATATTGTCATATTGATATCATTTCAGTTTATGGGACTATTTAGAATTTATAATATCTAGAAAATTAAAATCATTGCTTATAAAAACTTGAGGGACACTAAGCTGCAGCCTATACTAGTCTAAATAATAATCTGGCCCTGAAATTCATAAATGGTATCCTTGTTGGTTAACAACTATGAGATCCCATGGAATGTATTTTATGCTATACAGAGCATTGATTGATTGACCAGTGTTGAATTGGGATGTGATTTGATGCAATGTTACCTTTCATTTGCTGGGCATCCTCTTTGTTAATAACTTGTAGGTGTTTGCTTGCTACTTGCATATGACACTGATATCTGCCTGGAATTCACATATTCCTAGTATACCCTTGCAATTGTTGTCTGGGAAAATCTAGAGATGTTGCCACTATATATATATATATATTTTCCAATTTTTCTGATTCAAACAATCATTCTGTAGTTAAATGGTGTTAAATCCCATCCTTGTCCCATGTATTCCACAGCTACACTCTCTCTTTACCTATTGCCTCATACTTATATTATCTGACATCATTTTGTTGCATGTAGGACAGAACTATCCTGTGTACTGTCTTGGCCCTGTAGTTTCTCTTTAGCAAATTCTAAGAATTGCTGTTTGCACTAGTTGTTAACATTGAGGATTTAACACTTAATCATGTGTGGGGGTTGAGAGGAAGGAAAAAAAAAGATTACTACAAAAAGAAAATAAGAAGAGAAAATGTTGATTGTTATAAGAAAATAGTTGGTATTCTGCAAAATTGTCATTATACTTGAATAAAGAGTTCTATGTAAAAATGGAATAATTTATGTTGCATTTAAAGAATGTTAATGTTTATGCAACAGATGGTCTTTTCTGTGAAAATAAAAGAATGTATATTTTTGTTGATTTCTTTTTTTAAAAGTAAATTATTTTTATGATAATTATTGAGAGATTAACAGTGCAGAAAAATGAAGAGTAGAATTATCAGTATAAATTTCTAGATGTAGACACTCCCTACTGGAAATCAAAATAATTATAATTATAAAATAATTATGTATCATGTGCAGCAACTTTACTGATTTTACTGTAGAATAAAAGTTTTGTCTGAATAAATTTGAAATTTTTTTCTACATAATTTTTTCTAACATTTAAATGGTTTTGATTTAGCAGATCTTTAAAACAAAAAATGCTTTGAGAAAGAAAAAGATGGTAGCAAATAATATTATTAACATTAATAATCTAAAAAATCTAAAATCCCAAATAAAGTCATGCAAACTGACACCAGTAAAAATGAGTATCTAAATATATTAGTATAATTAAATGATGAGTATTGTAAACATAGATACAATTAAATTGGCAGCTATCATTATTTTGTAGAGCTGAATTCTAATGGTGCCTGTATTTTTGGCAGCCCTTCATGTACAAAATATACTGGGGAAGTAAACTTGTAAAATAATTGTATTTGTTTTTTTTTTTGTTTTTTTTTTACTCTTATGTGTTAAGAGTGAACCAAGAATGGTTCTGATTTTTTTTCTAACTGCTAAGAACCATCCCTTTATATTGTAGGCCATTATGGATGGAACTGAAGATGTGATATTAAATTTTGGGGAAGAAGATGAAGTAGATCGGAGAAAAAAAGTAAAGTGAGTACTAACCACTACTCTTTATCACACATTAATCTGCTTCAACTAATTTGATAACACTGATAGTGAAATATTTTAATTTAAATTTGGTTTAAGTTTTATAATCTGTATAAAAACTGGCTCTAAAAATGAAAAAATCTGGCTCTCCATGATGTTGTCAGAAAGTTTCTGAATCCTACATCAAGTCTTACAGCTAAGAAATAATCTATTAAAATTGAATAAAATGAATTCTTTTTTTAACATAAGTATTTGGAAATCTATGCATAAAGCAGAGCTTTCTAAACATTTTTTAAACAATGCATTACTTGAATTGTATTAGCTATGCCAAATATATAATTGCAAATGTATAAGAAAAAAAAATGCGTCAATTAAAAATTTATTTAATAAAGTATTAATGGGTAACTAACATCTCAGTTTGGAAACATATAATGATTTAATCATTTTTTTCCTAAGCAAATTCATTTCAAAATTTCACCAGAATCTGGTTTTAACATTAAAGTATTTAAAATTAAAAACAAGAAAGATTTAAATTTTAAATTACTGCTGTGAATATTTCTCACTTTATCATAGAAAAATTAAAGCCAAGTATTTTAAAGTATCCCCCCCTTCCCAAACAAACAAAAAGAAATTCATTTAAAACTGTTATTTTGGGTATAGTCATCCTCTGAATTTATCCCATGGCTCAAAAGATGTGTGTGTGTGTGTGGTTTTTTTTTTTTTTTTTTTTTCAATTGGAAATGGCTTCAGTAGCATATCTGGAATGTTTTAATGTATTGTCAAAAACAAAATGTACAGAGATTTAATAACAATTTTCAAAATTCATGCAGTTTAGATAACAATGTGATCTTTTATTTGAATTTGTGTTCACTTCTAATCCTAATGTTTTTTTTTTTTTTTTTTTTAACCACAGACATCCATTTGCAGTGTTTTTCCATTTGGTCTTCCGTTGTGCATCCATTGTTGCCTATCTGTTTTGTGGATGGTTCAGCTCTAGTTTTATAGCCAGTTTTGTTCTCATTGTTCTCTTTTTGTCCATGGACTTTTGGGCTGTCAAAAATGTCACAGGTAAGTCAGTGTAACCAAAATACAATGGGATTTTCTTACCTAAAGAATATATTTGAAGTGTGAAAATTAACTTTTTAAAGCTAAGACTTTCCCAATCAATTGATGAAAGAAGTGCCCCAAAATATTAGTTTGTTTCAAATCATCATTATTAATCTTCAGAACTTACTGAGTTTCTTTAGGTGTTCTTGTGTATAGAGTTTACATATTGTTTGTCATTTGATACTGATTGGCAAAACCTCTGTGAAGGGAACAGACTTTTGGTTTGTTAAATATGAACTTGTTTAAACAATTGAGAGCAACAAATTGAAATATTAAATATTATTGGAAACTTGCAATTATGTTGCAAGCATTAGAAAAAATGTGACTAGAAAACCAAATATGAAATTTCTGTTGGCAAGTAGAGATTATGCATGTTTGTGGAGTGTTAGTGTATGTGTATTTATAAATGAAAAAATAATTACTCTTTCTTATGACAAAACAAATCTTGTTATAAAATCTTAACTGATTGTAATTGTGTTTGTCATATTTCATCACAGGAATTATTTTTAAAAAACTCAAGTTGAAATTTTACAAACAGTAGTAATCTTGAAAAGTTTCTGCATTTGTACTGTTGATGTTTAGTGACATAACCTATTGAATCTTTTTTAATTTAATATATTTTATTCTAAAGGAAAATTGTCAAATGTGTTGCTTGGATTTTTTTTTTAATATGAACATTTCTACTCCTAAATGATATTAATACAGAGATATTTTGCAATTAGATTCAGATTTGAACAATACATTTTTGAAAAAGACTAGCTGAAGAAAATTTGCTGCACATAGTAAAATATATAGTCATAAACTCACAAGGTTTAAACAATGCACTTTAATTTTTTTCAAAAGTCTTAGGTCATGACATACATGCACTGATATGCCATATCAGGTGAATTTAAAAAAAAAAAAAAGAATCTCAATGTTTTCATATTTTTCTTTTTCCTTTTTGAAAACAGGTCGGTTATTAGTTGGTTTGCGTTGGTGGAATTATGTGGATGAGGATGGTCAGAGTCATTGGGTGTTTGAATCTCGAAAGGTAATTTTTCAGTACAAATTTTCTAAGGCAATTAATAACATTAAAAATCTAACATAATAATTACTAAAAACTTAACGATTAACAACAGCAATAAGAAAAAAAAGCTTTGAGAAAAAATAATTCTATATACTGTTAATATTTATAATATAAAATACATGAAATGTATTTTTAATAGAAATTGAAGAAGGAAAATAAAAGAATTTAACAAATTGTTGATTGTTATTTGGATAGATTTTGAAAAGTCTTTTTTTGTCAGTTTAAAACTGAAGATGTATTATAACTATTATAAATTTTTTCTTTTTTTCTTTTGTAAAACAAATTTCTAAGTTTTTTAATTATTAGTCCTGTTTTTGATAAGTTGAAAATTACATACTTTCACAAAATTCTCCAAAATTAGATACATATATGGCAAAAACTATTGATATCACAGTGAAAAGAGCTGTTTTGTTGAATTCCTCATTCCAAAATTAGTAAAGTTTCAGCTGTTTAGCTCTAATGGATACTTTTTTTATGGCAACTTCTGGATGATATACTTTTGACTTTTTTTTTTGCACTACTGTCAAATTGCACTTCTGGCTGTTTTTATGTTGTATAATTTTTTTTTTTATTGCGGTACTACTGAAAGAAAAATAGCTTCTTTTCTGTTGTGCTATAAAGTATAAGACAATGTTACAATGCATTAACTGTTGAAATGAAATTTTATGATCAGTCAAATTTTAGAGAACACAATTTCTCAATGTTTAGGCTTGTCTGATCTAAGAATTATTTATTCTATTAGCATTATATATCTTTTACTTCAAGACTACCTATATGACATAATAATTTTTAACTTGTTTGAAGCCTGAATCATTACTTATACACCGATAAAATTGTCTTTTTGTCCAATAGCTTTTATGAACTTTGAATGGTCATGACTTTGTTACTAATTGAGTTACCAAGATAAATTTGGTATCATCTTTTTATGGTTTAGCAAGATCTCTAAGCCTATATTAAAGGTTTTTTAGATATATTGAAAATAAAATTTTAGTTTGGGATAATAGTAAAGCAAATTTTACCAACACTGCAGCTCACAAGTTGGGTGGGGGGTCTTTGGGAAAAGATTTTTGATGAAGATGATTTTTTATGTTGATTGTTGATATTGCTAAACATTTTACCTTCTTAACAAAAACAATGAAACCTAATCATCAGATAATCCAGATCTTAGTTTGTTAAGCACTTTTACATGTTGACTTTCATCCAATGAGAATTCACAAAAAACACTGTTATTGGTTAATTTAAAAGATGATATACACTAAGAATGGTGTATGTATTTTGTTATTAGATGAAAAAAAATTTGAGCAAAATGTTGATAGTGATGCATATTATATCCAAAGTAGTAACTTCAAACTTTGGCTTTCATTTTTTTTTTTTTCACTTGATAGCAGTGTTTAATAAATGTTCATAATCAGAAAGTTTGAATATTTGCACAGGATCAGCAATATTCCTGCAGCCTGACACACAACAGAAACTGAATATTGATCTAAACCTTTTCATTGTATAATGTTTAATCTATATGATTAATATTCACCACTGACTCAAGTACATTGACAAGAAAGATTACATACAAAATAAATTTACATTTTGTGAAATAAATACTTTTATCTTCCTTTTAGCTGAAGTTATGTTGATGTACATACGTATAGTTGTTTATTTATAATAATGGTATTTTCTTTTTCTTCAGGGCTCTGCAAAGAATAAGATCACAGCTGTTGAGTCACAAATATTTTGGTTATCATTAGTTATCTGTCAAATTATCTGGATTATATTGTTCTTTGGGACGATCTTCACACTCAACTTTGAGTGGTTTGTGAGTAGCCAATACTTTATTTTTGTTTATTTTTCTAAGCCATTCATTAACATTTTATTCTCATCTTTAAAATGTCTAGCTGCATTTCTATCAACATTCTATCTTCTTGTGTGTGTGTATGTATATATATATATATATATATATAATGCCCATCTACTCTCATTTTATGACCACATCCATCTGTTAAGGTAGCTAGCCAATCCTTGTCACAAGTGATTTTGCAAAGTATATCTTAATCAAATTCTTTTCATCATGCCATAATAAAGAGGGTAACTGAATATTTGTTTTTCTTTCCCCCCTCACCAGATGGTTGTTGTTGTTGGGATTATCATGAATGGTGCCAACGTTTATGGATATGTCCGCTGCAAATTAGGGTCCAAGAAATCAATCAGCAGCGTGGCCTCAAATTTCTTGGGGAAACAAATTTTCCAGTCAGTAAGTAGATGTTTGTATTCTTTTTGCTTTGTAATTGACTTGTCCTTTTGTTACTTCTTTTAAGTTTCACAAAAGATACTAAAATCATGACTGATGAAATTTATATTTAACATTTAAGAGCAGAAATTTAATTCATTTAAAAAAAAAAAAATAAATAAAAAAAAATCTACAATTGATTAAAGTTGCAGACTTCCATTATAAAAATAACAGCACAGATTTGTAATTTCTAATTGGTTATGTGCCCCAATCTGAAATGGATAAAATGACTAAATGTATTGCTCACATTATTTGTGGCCTGAATTTACAAAACCTGGACACTAAAAGCCACTGATGTCTTTCAAGACAACAGGTAAGCACTGCACATGAGCTGGAGGAGATGGGAACAGAGTAGCAGTTTGTGACCATAAGGAAGTGAAAACTGCAATACTTTGGTCATGTCATCAGGACCCAGAACCTCTACACCCACATCCTGGAGGAATGCATCAAGAAGATCAAGACAATGCTGGAGATCAGAGATTAGACAGAGAGAACACTGGTAGAATGCATAATCATGGTGAGGGAGAGGAAACAGTGGAGAGCCTTGGTGCAATTGTCCATGGTTTTGAACCTCAGCAATGAGGAGGGAAACAATCCTCACAAAAATGGGTCTGAAATAATTTTCACCAAAGCTTGAATGCCTTGGTAAAAACTGGTATTTTCAATGCTTTTGTTTGTTTTTGTTTTAAGTTCTTTGCCACTTGAGCGATTGGTGTAATCTAGTTTTTGTACCCCTAAGCCTCAAAGGGTGGACTAAGAAGTCTGTAGCTGAATTTTGGTCTATGTTAAATGCATTGACAACCAAAATGTGTAAAATAAATCAATAGACTACAGACTTGCTGATTTATTTATATCTTTGGCAAAGTTTTCTGTAGCTTAATAAAATCCTTGTCTTTTTTTTTTTTGCAGTTAAAGATTGGAGTTGTTCCAGAAAAGACACCAGAAAACATGAATGAGTCAAAGTTTTCTAATTGAAAAAGAAAAAAATTCCAATTTTGTGTGATTGATCAGCAACTTCATCTACAAAAAAAAAATACCCACTTCATTGAGGATCTCCTGTCTGTTCATGGTTTGATGCTTGTATATATTCATTTCTTGTACAGAAGATTTCCACATTTTGCAAACCTTGTACCTCCCATGGAATATTTATATAAATATATATATAAACAATACATAATGAAAGGACTATTAAACGTACTTGTACATTTCCTTACATACAAGTACATGTGCTATAAAAAAAATATGGTTGTAATTACTTTTTCAAATTTAAAAATTTATTGGAATTAAATTTTTGGCTTTTTTTTTTTTTTTAATTTAAAGCAAAAACATTTTGTTTTTCTTTTTTTGATTCAAAGCATCTTAAATCCATTATTGACTGAAGATGCCTTTTTGGCTTTGTGTGAAAAGTAAGTCTCCAGTTTTCACGATGTAATCTTAATTTGTTTTAAATACAAAAAGAAAAAGACCAGAGGTGATCTTTCTTAGTTTCAACCTTTTTACAAAGAGTTCAAGCAAATAAGTATAGATATCACAAAAACAAAAATCCATATGCTGACCTTACTCCCTCTTTAAGAAATCCAACTACATTAATTTAACATTGTTTCAATGATACAAAAATCTGTATAAGTGAGAAAAAGTCATTTTATGCATTTATGAATATCTAAAACAAAGTCAATGAATGGACTGAGAACAACAATTTATATTCATTTTCCATTAATTTTACAAATAAATAATTCTGGAGACTATTTTACTTTTGTATTGTGAAAATAGATTTTACATGTTTTTTTTTTTTTTTTTATATATTCCTCTTTACACTGATATAACATTTTAATAGATTCATAATAATTTTTCAACAGTCTTCTTCAGGTGACTGTCAAATCTTAATTTTCTTGCAGACAGTTTAGATTAGTCTGGCACAATTGGCAGACACCTATGAAAATTCTGACGTCTCTACACTCACTAATGGCTTGCCAGACTAAAATGTAAATTGATGATAATGATTCAAATGTAATGCTCAATATTTTTTTTAATGAAACAAGGAACAAGAAAGAAAGGGCAACATCATCTCGGATTTACACAGCCAATTAGTCAACTCCTCGTATTTTAAGACTGAACATCTTTTTGGCTGTCCTCTTCTTTCGGGTGGCGAAAGTCTTTCCAGGGATGTTCAGGTTTATCAAATCCAATTGATTTCAGCCATTTTGAGTAAATCATCATAAAGTTTTCAAATGAGCTTTTAAATTTTTCAGATTTAAAATAGTCATCAACAATTTCATTGCGTTCCTGTGGAATAAAAATTAGAAATCCAATTCAGCATACATGTAAAATGTGTGTGTGTGTGTGTGGGGGGGGTCTGTTAATTATATAAATTTCGCAAATCAATATTTTTTTTTTTTTTTTTTTTTTAAATCAAAGATAAAAATAATACAATAGCATTTCTCAAATACATGACAAACTGCTAAAACTATATTGTACACAAATAGAACACCTAGAGAAATTACTGGGCATCTCTGCAGTTTAGAATCACAAACAAATTTTACAAATTTATAATCTTTCAATTAAGAAAAATAAAAACTTTAAAACATTTATTGAGAGATAATGGCAATACCAACTTACTCACCAAAATCACAGATTTGGCAGGAGAGAAATGCATTTTTCTTTTAAATTTAGATAAATTAGCATTTGTTTGGGGCTGGGTGGGGGAACTACTTTTCAATGCCTGCAGAGAATGGGAAGATAGTTTGTAAGACGTGTGCTTTAGTCAAATACAAAAAGTGACCAAATATTTTTTCAAGTCTTTTCTATTAATATAAGTTGAATTAAAACAAAAATAAATCTCAATTAAAAAAAATTGACATTTTAATACAAAGAATCCTTTTATTCTGAAGATCCACTTCTGATATTCCAAGACATGATCTTAATACCTGAATAAAAGTTTTAATCAAAAATGAAGAATGGAAGCAGCAGAGATAGAAATTAAGTGCACATCTTTATAGAGTAACAGAGAAGACCATGTAGTGTCAGACTTCCAAATGATGAGAGCTTTTGCCTTCTTTGAAATTCAGGCTTTTTAGCTAGTCAAGAAATTCAGCCACCAAATTAACTTTGAGGTTTACTAAATTTGGTTTGGCAATCGACAGCAGTAAGGGAGAAGCCAATGAGAATCAAAGTCACTTTGGATGCAATGATCTCCAAAATTTTCTGATTCTAATTCTCTCCCTTTTATATGTTATGTCTCTTCAGGATGTAGGCAATCATGGTTCTCCACAACTTGCTATTCTTTGTAGTTCTTAGCAATATGTCTTTTTATTATCCCTCCCTGTTCTGTCATCCATTTACATAAACTTTTTGGGCAGGTGACTGTTTCCCACTTTTATATATTCAATATTTGCCTATTTGGAGGTAATTTAATTGAACTGATTCAAATTTGAGTACAGCTTCAATTATACTAACTGCTGTAATCATTCAATACAGAATAATTTTTATATCAATTTCCTTTTTATTGTATTATGAAAATATATGATGCATTGTAACAGTTCACTGGTTTTATTTTACACTAATTTAGTCATGCTATCAAAAATAACAGCTTTATGTTATTAGGCTTTCAAATATGAATCTTTAGATATAGAAATAAAAGTAGGAATAGCTACTCTTTTATTTGTATGGGAGACAACTCTTTTTTTTTATGTGTAAAAGAAAGAATAAGCAAATGTTAGAAAGAAAAAACGAGTTTTCTCCCATTTTATTTGAGAGCAGGCGACCAAAAAACATTTTCTTTCAAAATTTTTGAAGTGGCTTTTTGGGGTTATTTTCCTCTTCCTCAAATTTAATAAAAGAATTAGAGGACAGTTAATCTTGGAAGCAAATCATTTTGAAAAGTTTGGGTGCTAAAAATGTTTTTGTTCAAGTGAAAGATTTCAGTTCAATCTTCTCTCAGACATGGAGTATTTTTTTTTCCATAGATCTAACACATGAAACAGACCTGGTCCCTATTACAGAACACAGAGGCTGAGCCAGGATGGTCAGAATATTTTGTAGGCATGTGATTCTGACAGTGATAGATTGATATCCAAAACTTAGTCAAAGGCAGACCAAAATGGAGTGGAGTCAGGAGAGGGCCAAAGGAATTTTGAAGTATCACTTTCCCACAACCAGGTTTGATAGACCAGCTAAGACCATTACACAAAGGAATACTAAGCCAACAAGCAGCATATGTTTCCTTTAAGTTCCTCCTCATGTTGCCTCCTAGAATCAATGCTATCATGTTTAATACTCTAAGAAAAAGAAACATCTATCGCTGATACCATCTATGAACTGGAATTTGTGTATGAGGGGCTAAAACCAGTGATGAGATGGAATACATCATCAGTAGCTTCCATTGGATAAATACAGATGGTTTGATTATAACAATGCTTTTAATATATTTACTTCATCCCCCCTACCAAAATATTATTTATTGACTATGTGAAAATCAGGTGAGTTTTGCTTATAAAACTACCCAAGTGTTATAACCTTGGAGAAGTTAGCAACCACTGTGCATTTCACTCTCTAAAACATTTATATGATGCATGGGGAACTGCCGATCTCTCATAAAAAAAATAAAGCCTGCATCCTGGAGAGGGCATAACTCTTTGTGTACAGATCCATGATATCTCGAGACTAACGGATGCCCTACCATACTAATAGCTTAAGCATTTCCACAATTCACTTTACTTCCATATGGAAGTTTAAAACATCAACAGTCATCAGCCATATACACTTAATTAAATCCTGACGATTTCACACAACATCCTATTTATACATGTTTCTGAACTTGTGGCATATTTTCCAGTGTATAAAATTTCATAGAAAAAGAAAGATTGTTACCATTTTGAGGATCTTCTTCCGGGCAGATTGTATACTTCTTTCTAGATGTTGTAAAAATATCACATTGGGATAAAGATTTCTCTTCTTCAACATGCCCAACAAAGCTTCCTTATATTCAAAATCCAAGGCACTTTTATAAGCAAAAAGACCAAATATCTCTATGTTTGGTTCAAGTCCAGCTTCCTAGAAGAAAAATATATTTTGATCATGTGTATTATATAATTAGTATAGTACCCATAAAAATGATGGGATTGTGAATAGGCACTTCTGTCTAGGATCAGAGTGTAGTATCTGTGCACTCTATGAAAATTGCTACACTCCAATTATATGAGGGGATGCTGAAAAGTTCTCAGCTCAGACCATTTCCCACTGGTCATCTAAAAAGATCTAGAAGAGTGGCCATTCAAGATAACATTCATTTTGAAATTTGATTAAAACAAAAGATTGACTAAAGTAAAATAATTCAGTTAGGAACACCATAAACCTTCAACTTGTGAAGACCAGCATGTCAAACCCTGTTAATTCTTTTTTTTTTTTTTAAATTAATAATGTCACTAAAATGCAAAGGTTTCTGGGAGTGAAAGAGAATGGGAAGACTTTAGGAGAAGGAACTGGAAATTTGATCCTAAACAGGAAACAAGGGATAAACCACTAGTCCTGTTCAAAACATAGGGAAGGAGTGTGAACTAGACAATTGGCGAACCTATCTACAATGTCTTCAAGATATCTCTGGTAACAGCCCAAGGTTCACTATTCTTATCAAAAGCTTGATATTCTTTCAGTAATAACTGCCAATACATAGGCAGTTGACCTAGAGAAGCAAAGGCTATATTGTTTATATGTTACAAGATTCTGTGAGGTGAGATACTTAACCAATTCGAAGTTGATTAGAGCCTCTAGTACTTTGCCAAAAAGAGGTAGAAATCTAATATTTCAAAGGAACAGATGGCTTGCATGCCAAACCTTATTTTAATGGATAACTATATTTATTATCTGTCTATATTTCTGAGATGAGGTATTATGTACACTATTTACATTATCTGGACTATTGTCCTCATCTTTGTCGCCATATTTATTACTTATTATTATTTAATGATAACAGCAAAAATTGCAATATGAGCATTGGTAAAAATGGTTGCGAAGACATTAGGTTTATAATACCCAGAAATTCATACACAGATGTCCTCAAGGATACATGCCACAATGGATAAAGGCGTTAGGTAGATCCAGTGACAGGACCCAAAGAGTGTGAATTCAATACCCGGTTAAGGCAGTGGAGAACTTGGAGAGGGGAATTAACAGGAGATAACTGACATCCATTAAACATGGCATGTGGAACTAGAACAGTCTATCCGGCCGAAACGTAATAAATATGGCAACAAAGATGAGGACAATAGAAAATTTCAGGACTTTTCAAGAAGCTTTTGGGCTTTGCTGTTTTTCCAGGACTTTTCAAGGTTTCCAAGCATCTGTATGAACCCTGAACTTCCCTGCCTTGATTTTCCCAATTCTTTTCCCACTAAATATTATTATACAGGTTTCTTGGTCTGAGAGCATAACTGATTCTAGCTCAGAAGAGCTGAGGATTGAACAGATACCACACTCTCATCCTATACAGAAAAGGGGTTAACAAGTAGAAAAATAGTTGAGTCTGACTAGTGGGAATTCTACAATGTATCTTTGCAGTTCAGGGACCTTTAAAGTGTAATGTGTATATTTTATGAATTTGCGTACCATTTGAATAAAAAACAACAAAAAAAAGAAAGCCGTCACCCTTAATTTGCAAGAACCTCAGAAAAAATCTTTTTTATAATTTTAACAACTCATTATCATTCAAAAAATCTTTTCATATTCTGAACATTTTGTTATCAAGAGATTCTCATCATGAACATGAAATGGAATTCTTCATTTAACAAAGAAAAATGAAACTGAGGGAACTTCCATGTTAAAATTTTTATAACTATCAGCACTTCATGTGTTGATGAAAATAGAATAACTTATTTGACAAGTGTTGCTAATAACATTTTAGTTTACTCTTTGCTACCATCTTTTTCTCTGCACTTAATAAAAAAAAAGAAGAATAAAAAGAGGCCATCTGTCTTCATATGAATATTATGACTGAGGAAGGCAGTAGAAAGGATCAGCCAAAATGTTTTAAGAATAACAAAAATCACAAACAGAAGACATTCAGTTATTCAAAAATCTCTTTGATTTAACAAAAAACTTTTCTTGAGAAAAAATATTCCCTCTCATTTACAAGTCAATACAATATATGGTGGCAAGGATATTGTGGAATAGCAAGTAAGAAAATAAACATGGGGCTATGTACACGTAATTAAAATAAATAATAATTTTAAATAAAAAATCTACAAGTATGGGTGTGTGCAAAAGCTTGCAGTATTTTTATTTTAAAAAAATCTATTATTTATTCAGCTTTTAGTTTTCAAAAGAGAGAGCAGTGGGAACTTTTGTACACACTACCCACTTATTAGGTACCATTTGAATGAAATTTTAAGTATGAGGTTAATTATATTTTCTAATTTTGGCTTGAAAATATTTAAGCATTTGATTAAAAGAAGAAAAAAAAAAAGGAATAAAAATTAAAAAGAACAAAAACTCACATCAATACTTTGAAGGAGTCTTTTAGCTTTTGGTAATGTTGTACAGCCCATTGCAAGACAACCAAATGTTCTTAGGTTAAGAAATATGCCTTCTTCAACAATGTACTTTAGCACCTCCTGAAACACAACAGAAGAGAAACTATAGATTTGTAAATTTATACTCACACACACACATGTCGTGGGTGTTCTGATGATGCATTAGCCTTGTCTGAATGTAATTTTTTTTATATCTGTATTTGGGGCGGGGGGGTTAAAAGGCATCATCAGTCCACAACAGGATTATAAAATTACAAACAAAATCATAGATGAAAATACAACAAAATAGGCACAGACAAAAACAATAAAATGCTTTAGTATACATTTCAGAGAAATGATTGTATAATTTAGAGAACATCTATGTAATACAGAAATAAAGAAGTTTTGTTTATCTGTTGGTGGCAACATATTTTATCAGAGAACTGTCTAGGATGTCTGCCTCTGTTAACTGTTGATAAAGTTTTGTTTTTGGTTCATTGGTGGTAAAATGCTTGCTCTGATGCATCACAGGAGTATTCTATATTTATTTAACTATTTATTTTATAATATAACTTTTTCTTTCTTTGTTACTAATTACGATTCTTATCTATATTTTAAAGTATTTTTATTGTTTAACATTCAATTTAATTCCAGACTACTACTTGGGAGTTTTTTACTAATTTATTTGTTGTTATCACTACACACACACACACACATATATATATATATATATATATATATATATATATATATATATATATATATACAGACAGACACACATTTTATTGACTGCACAGTATAGTAGGGTCAGTTGGGCACCATCTGTGAGAAAAAGAGCACCATGACACAATTAACTCCTCCAGAAATTTGGAAACAGCATGATGTACTGCTTGGCATTTATGCTGGAAGCTCCAATACAAACATTTCAGAGTGTTTGGGTGTCAATCTGAGAACAGTGCAGAGAGATTCAGAAAGAGTTGGATGAGTCTAATGGTGAATACGAAGGTGTTTTGAGTGATCACTAGTGATGGTGACATTATGCCTCCATCTTCCCATAAGACCTCAGACTCAACATGGAGGCTTACATCAAGTTCCTTGAGGAGATAGTGCTGCAATGGGTTGCTGGAAGTGCCTGTGTCTGGCAACAGGACTCTGCACCATGCCACACAAGCAGAAGAATCCAGTCAATTTATGCAACCACATCACCCCTTACATCTGACCACCTAACTCCCCAGACTGCAACCCCCTTGATTATTAAGTGTGGGGCACAGTTGAGTGAGAGATCAATGAAACTCCTTGTAAAACCAAAGGTGAACTGAAAGCAAGGCTTATGGCAGCATTCACCAACTTACAGAAGAGTGAAGGTGATACCAAAATCGTTTGAAGGCCAAAGCCAATGTCAATTTTATTGAATAAATTTACTCTTTTGTATTTTAAGATATTTTTGTGTAATTTTGGTAAATATATCTGTTAAAATGAAATGTCAGTGTTATTTTCATTTTTGCATAATTTAGATGACAATTTATCCATCGCACCCTGTATATATAAACTTTTAGAATAAGTTAAGACAATCACAGCAGATCTTTGTTGTAAAAATGTGTAAATATATTCAGAAAATAGCCTGGTTAGAGCAAGTGCCAGTTTTAAGAATAACAATGAAAATACTGTCACTCAGAAAAATAAGCTCAAATAATTTAGGAGGATTGACCTCAGCAATTTTTATTCTCTTCAAATCATTCATTTAATGAGATTATGGAAGGCAAAAACCCTTAAAATGAGGAAGATTATCAAACTTCATTCAAAATTCTTTGAACAAGCAAGAAAAGAACGAGTTTCATAGTGAGTTTTTGTTATTGTAAATAATGATGATTACCTTCTTGTATGAGGTTTTTTATTCTCTCTCCAAAACATTACTTTCTCAACAACCAATACTATAACATCTTCAGAAGCACAATAAATGGATGTTATTTTTTTTTAAATTATACCAAATGCATTTGCACAAAAAAAAAAAAAAGAAATGAAAAACAAAGCCTTAATAAAAAGAAACTTACAGTTGCTGCTTGGTAATCGTTCCTTCGGTTCCTTCTCCTGATGATCATATTGTATAGATCAATGTCTCGTCGGACATTTTCTGCTTTCATGTATTCCAATAGTTGTAATTCAGCTTCATTTTTTTGTGGTAAAGAGTCCAGGAGTTGGGTAAATGTCAGCACATTTGGACTGACACCATTCTTTTTCATGTCCTCAAGAATAGCCAATGGACCTCCAAAAACTGCCAGCCGATTTTCAGGGTACCTCAAATCAAGTGAAGTATTTATTATTGGAGAATCTCCAAAGAGGTTTGAAGCCAAGTCTAGTGTAGCTAAAACATTTGACTCTCGTATATTAACAGCTGCTGTATTTTCAGAAACATTACTTTCAGTTTTAATAATGAGTTCTTTATCTGTTTGTTCTTCCTCAGGATGTTGAATTGAATCTTGATGTCCTAGTGAAAATAGGATAACACATTTGATGCTGTAATAAGATATCACCATGTTAGATTTCATTACACAAGTCAATGTTTTTACAATAAAATCACTGCTAACCAACCAATGCTAGTAAAATTTTCAAGGTATGTTTATATTTATATGAGCAATATAACGTGAATTTCAGCTTATAATGTCTGTAATTCTTACAAATATTGATAATAATTTATTTTGTAGGTGTTATTATGCAAACAAGCTGAGTGTAATAAAATTTCATTTATAAATAATATACTGTTGCTATGGCAACTGAGCTAAAGAATGCAAAGTGAATCCGCTTGACACAAATTGACCTCGAACTCTGTCACACACACACACACTAAATTTTAATGTTCTTCCTCACTTACATTGTTTATTGCAGTACTTGGAAGGAAAGTGTGTAGAATGTGGTCATCTAACCACACCATAGAGGTTCCATCAATGACTAATTGCTTGCGTAGCAGTTTTTATCTAAGAACAACATTCCCAAAGTCTGACAACTACCACATTCTCCAGATCTCACCTCTTGTGACATTTTCTTCTTCAAAAATCAAATTGCACTTGAAAAGAACAACATTTCAAGATGTTGAAGCAATCCAAGAGAATGCAATGAGGAAGCTGCTCACTATCCCCAAAACATAGTTCCAGGAATGCTTCCATCAATGGAAATGATACTGGATAAAATGTGTGGCTTCAGGAGGGAATTACTTTGAATACTGAATTGATATGTGATGTAGTTTTCTTTTTATAACACCAGTCCCAATACTTTTTGATCAGACCTCATATATGATAAAAACTAAATCTTATATAATTGAATAATTTTTTTTTATTCTATAGATTTCTTATATATGATGAAAACTATATCTTATATAATTGAATAATTTTTTTTCTTATTCTACATTAGATTATAAGGACCAGATCTTACCTGATTGTCCTCCTTTCTTTGTAATATCTCAATCATGGCACAAAATGTTTCCAGACTTATCAAAAGCCTCGACTCTAAGAAGGCCACTGCTTTGGATAAAATCCTAGTGGTTGCTCTTAAGAATATCAGCCCATCTCCAATAGTGGCAAAACTATTTAATCCCAAGTCTATGTAAAATGCCAACTGTGTTCCCTGTTTTTAAGAATGCAGGTTGGCCTACTTAATGTCATATATATCTATAATCAAGGTTGTTGAACACCTCAACAAGTACAACCTCCTGAGTAATAACCAGTATAGATTTCACTCTGCCAGATCTACAGCTGATGTCTTAACTGGCATCAGAAGTTACTACAAAACCTCTCTAACTATGGAATCTCTAGCAGAGCTTTCTCATTTATCAAGTCCTTCCTGACAAGTAGGTTGATGAAGGTCGTTATTAACAGCCAGTCATCAGAAGCCAATAAGATCAATGTTGGCACTTCTTGTCTGGTCTATATTAAGGATCTGCTTAAAGACATACTCCACTCTTCAGTGAATAACTATACAGATGACACAACTTTATAGGTGTACCTCCAAAAATCTGGATGACCAGAACCTGATCATTCCTTTGACCTAGCCCTGGTGGCTCAATGGGGGAAGGACTGACTTGCAAAATTCAAATATATTCAAAACCAAGCTAGTAACATTCTACTCATCATTGAGCAGACCCTGAACTTTCACTTATCATGATGGATGGAAATTCCCTCAAGGAGGATCTTGAATGTCTATTGGGACTCAAGCTCACCCCAGATCTCAAGTGGAACATATTGTTTCTGAAAACATGGAAGGTTCTTTGTATCACTCCAGAAAAAATCCTGTTTCCATGCTCTAGAAGAGCCAGATCAGACCAAAAATGAAGTATTGCTGTCATATCTGGTCTGGAGCTGCCCAGTCATCACTTGCACGACTTGAGAGAGTTCAAAAGTATCTATGTGGCCTTATGGGTGAGGAATTATTTTCCACCCTACAACCCTTTTCTTGTAGATGAAACATCACAAACCTCATGCTACACTATTGCTATTTCAATAGCAAGTGTTCTGACAATCTACATTCCTTGATTCCACCAATCCTGACCTTTGAAGCTGGGTCACCACATACACAAGGATGAATCACCCTGATTCCCTTCATATTCCATTAGTAAGGAGGAAGTTCCACTTGAACAGCTTCCTCCTAAGAACAGCTCCTTCATGGAACAAACTCCTGAGAGGATGTTTTTCCAATCACTACAATCTCAACCTTTTCAAGTCTAGGGTCAACTGTAATCTTTCCTACATATCCTCATAAATTGCACTTCTTGCCTTCTCTTATGTTCATACAACACACACCTCTACCTTGAGTGGCTCTTCGGCCTTGTATTGGATGAACAATATAAAACCCCCATCAATATTGAAAAGAGCAATAGCAGCTACTGGACTTGAGAAACCTATTTTCCTGAATAATTGAAGAGAAAGATTTTATAAATTTCAACCAACAGCAACACTGGCTGCTTGGTTAATGGATTAGAGTGTTTACTTGTAAGGTAAAGGTAAATGTTACCATCACCAGTACTAATTACAATTTGATACTAAATAATATATAGCCAGAATATAATCAAATACTAATTACCTACAAGTGTATTTTTCAGTATACATTTTCCAAAACCTGACCAAATAACCAAACATTAGATATTGAGTTTTTTTTTTTTTTTGGAAAGGCTTTTCCAAGAACTTTTCAGTAGTCCCTCATAAAAGGTAAAAATATATTACCTACCATTTGTGGTTTCCTTACACTGAAGATTTCTACTTTGTGGAAATTTCTTGACATCCTCACTGATACCAAATCCAGAATCTCTTATGACCCTCAACAAAAGATTATACAAAGGGAGGTCAGGTTTTATATTCATCTTGCGCATCAGCTGCCACACCTGCAAAACAAAACAAAACAAAAAAAAGCAAAACAATGGAAAATGATGCCATATAACAGTAAGTAAAAGGCAAATATGATAAGTACTGAAAAATGTCACCACAATATTGAGATGTGATTCCATATTCACACCATAATGTTTAACATTTTCATTGCTGCAGTGTTATAACATTGTTGCATGGCTATGCTGGCCTGTTTTTTGGAAAAATAGGGAACTGCCATTTACTGGACATAAATAACTATAGAAGATGCTGATGGCAATTTCTCATGGATAGCATCATTTTGGTTTTAATTGTATACAGTACAGAGTAAGCTAAACAATACCCCCAACACACAATATAATAAAAATACATCAGAAAAAATGTCAGACTGTATGCTTCTAAATGTCTACAATGATTTAAAAAGCACTAAACAGTCAGTTTATAACACAAATGCTTGGGACCGACATTCCATAGTGTCACACACACACACACATATATATATTAGTCAGCCACTTAATCATCAGCAGCCAACAAATTTCCTTTCTTCCAAAAGTGCTCAATCCATGAAAGGGAGTATATATAGTCATCCACAGACAGACTGTTTTGCTCATCAGTGTGGCTAGACATGTGATTGCTTCAAGCCGGGATTAAAACCCGACCAATTTGATGACAGTCAGAGACTCTCATCCCTAGGCCATCAGCACACACTAGGAAGAAAAGGAATTTTTAACACATTATATACAAGATATATGCATTACTGAGGCATTAGAGAACATGTAAATGTAAAAGTGCACACTAATGCAACAGTCTGTTTTATGCATAAACATTCAAGCATGTGTTAATTTCTAGGTCTTAATTTACATATGTGAGTATGTGTGAACAGTAGGCAATGTAAGTTTCATAAAAATGTACATAAGTACATCCACGGCAATGGAAAGTGAAAGTGTTAATAAGAATGGACAGGGTCCAAGAGAAAAGATTCCGATTGTGTCTGTTTTCTCATTCTCACTGCTGGTAACAAACCATTTTCCAGCAAGCTTTAGATCAGAAACAATTCAGATTTCAGGCTTTTCCAGTTTTCTGGGTCAATACTTAATATACAGGATGTGGTGGATGAATTGTCATCTAAATTACACAAAAATGAAAACAACACTGACATCTCATTTTAACAGACATATTTACCAAAATTGCCATAAGCCTTGCCTTCAGTCCATCTTTGACATTACAAGGAATTTTGTTGGTCTCTCACTCAACTGCACCCTGCAGATAATAATTCAGGGGGTTGCAGTCTGGAGTGTTAGGTGGCCAGATGTAAGGAGTGATATAGTTGCAGAAATTGTCTGACATCCATGACTGGGTTCTCCTGCTTGTGTGGCATGGTGCAGAGTCCTGTTGCTAGACATGGGGTCTTCCAGCAGCCACCCGCTTGACCCATTGCATCACTACCTCCTCAAGGCACTTGATGTAGGCCTCTGTATTGAGTCTGAGGCCGTGTGTGAAGATGAATGGAGGCATAACATTGACATGACTAGTGATCACTACAAACACCTTCGTAATCACCATTAGACTCATCCAACTCTTCTGCACTGTCTTCAGAGTGACACCCAAACACTCTGAAATATTCATATTGGAGGTTATGGCATGAATGCCAAGCAGTACAGCATGCTGTTTCCAAATTTTTGGTGGAGTGAATTGCATCATAGTGCTCTATTTCTTACAGATGGTGCCCAACTGACCCTACTATACTCTGCAGTCAATAAAATCAAAAAATGCACATGTGCAAAGTTAAAATATAAAATGGCAACAATTTACCTATCACACCCTGTATATTTAAATAAACAATTTAAAAGAAAATTGTCTTTAACACATTAATCCATTTCTAAAGTATCATTATTATATAAAACATGTCAGGTGTTTCAGATGAATATAAATATTTTTAAAAAAAGATTAAAATGCTTTTTTAAAATCAATTAAATTCTTTGAAAAAAATATTCATTTTACATTCTGTTAATTTATATTTTTATATATAAAAAAAAAGTTTTAAATTTCTGGATTTTAGAGCATTAATTAACCTTCAATAAGTTTAGAAAAAAAATTACATGATTTAATTTCTTCAGGAATTTGCCTTTTTAAAATGTAAGCACATTTCAACCTGGATTGATATTTATTGGGTGGTCATAAAACTTAAGGGTGGGAGTATTTTGGTAAAGAAATAATTCTACTAATTATTTTTTCAATATACCCTGCTCATAAATAAAGTCAGTAGTCAATAAATAAATACAAAGTGTTTGATTAAATTTCATTAATTGCATTTCATAAATGTTTAATTGTCTAAGTTGTTTTTTTTAACACATACCTTTGAGAAAAGTGTATTTTTAAGCCAGATGGATCGTAAAAAGAAATTGTTACAATTGTGTGAAAATCTATTTTAGAATTAGCAGTTAGAATTATTTCTTTGTGAATTGATGCAGATTTATTTTTTAAATTTATGGAAAAGTTTTCATATCTGCTGGCCAATAAGAGGCTTGTTTTCAAGCCCTTGTGAAAACCTGGATGGAACAGGTGTGATCCTCTTTTGTTGAATTAAAAGAATGTGGCTAATGGATAGCTTCAGAAAGGGTTAGTCTTTTCTTCCTGTTTTCCTTTATGACCTTGATGAGGAACACCTTTTTATGTCTGCTATCAAATAATGTTAGTAGAATCATTGAGAAGAAGGCATTGAAGCACCAACACTTCAAGGTCAAAGGATTAGTCCAGCCAAAGGTCATAATTCATCACAGGAAAAGAAAGAAGAGTCAACAGTAGATTCAAGTCCCAGGACAGAAAATTCTTTTGGTGTCTTCGAAAGAAGAATTTGAACAAAACAAACACTCAAGTTGAACTTTCCAGTAATGGACAACTTAAAGTCTTCAAGACAAACTGTAGAAAACACAAACCCCCTTAGTGCTGAGATATTTCTATCCAGCATTCAACTGAAGAAATTAGGTGGGTGCACTTTTTTTTATTTTCTGCCTTGGGCAAAAATTTTTCCTTTTTTTTTTTTATTGAAGCAAGGTGATAAAGTGACACAAGTGGTTACTGAGACTGAAAGGGATTGAGGAAACATTGAGAAGAGAGAAGAGACATTAAATGACCAGAATTCAAGGGAAAAAAAGATAGAAATTGACATTGCATTTAAATTTTTAAAGATCATAGTTGACTGGAAAGCAAGAAGCTAGAAGAGAATTCCACAAGTGAGAAGTGTGAAAGAAGAATCTATTAGCATAGAACTTAGGGTTACATCTATTTCAACTGTATAATTATAAGACCTATATGCCAATCTAGTATTGCACTTAAGTTTACAAGGCTAAAGAACCAAAGAAAGAAGTTCACCAGAGCAATTATCATAAAAGTATTTATAGAGAAGCTACGTTATAGTGGCGGGAAAATAACTGAAACCGAGATGCCAGGTCAGCTTCAATAACATTGCAGATTCTTCTTTGTATTTTATCAAGAATCTCAAAAAACATAGAAGCACCGGACCAGATGTGACAACAATATTCAATGCATGAACAAATGGTAAACTTATAAATGTGTAAGATAGATTCTTGTAAGAAAAAGTGTCTAGCATGACACAGTGAACCAACTCTCCTAGCAGCAGGCCTAGCAATTAATTCAATATGTTTCTACTTCATGTTAGTGAAAAATGTTAGAACAATGAGGCACTCTCCTATAGGTTGGCATTAGCCATGCTGATAGAAAGCAGAAAAGGTTCTTTCAAATGATTAAAAGAAAGCAGTTTTGTTTTGGAGGTATTAAATTTCTTGCCTGCCCCAGTTAACAACAGATTGTAGGTGATTTTTGAGATCAGCTGCCAATTTCCCGAACCAACCAAACTTACTTTTTAGATAGAAGTAAATAGTTATGTCATCTGCATTGATATCAAGTTGAAAACTGAGATGATGAAGAAAATTAGGAACAGGCCTGGGGGACACCTACATTAATGCAAAAAGATCTAAAAGAGTGACCATTCAAGACAACTTTTTATTCGGGATTTGGTAAGAAAGATTGAATCAGTTCAAAACTTTGTCAAGAAATACCATAATAACTAGTATAAAAAAAATAAGGAGAAGGTAATTAAAATCTTTTTAGAAGCCTCCTTTCCTCATTATGTCAGCCAGAAATTTCAAATGTCTCTTAATGATTTTAAATATAAGTATCTTTATAGTTTATGATTTCCTTAACACTTTCACTGCTACTCATTTGTCCAGTGCTGCCCCCATCCGGCCAGCCATTTTTAAAGAAAATGCCAAATTTCAACCTACATAATTTATTACACAGAAAACGGGCACCAGTGTGTTTTACAGCATTCCACTTTCATGGATATACCTGAGAATAACTTACCAGATCAGTAATGGGTATACACATGATATCTTTTGAAGCATTGTCCTTTGTGATTTTACGAAAGATGGCACAACGGGACACTCATACCAGCAGTATGCAAAAAAACGTAGGTTTCCGTACTTAGCCAGCTGGAGCAAGATAAGAAAAATGAAGATCTCTGTAGTTAGCAACAGAAGTGTTAAAACTTCCTCATTGGTAACATATTTATCTATATTATTCTCAGCATTCTTCTGTAGAACCATATCTGTTGTTTCAAATCTCTGCTTCATTTGTGAGGAAATTGTTTAGTATTCATTCCATATTGAAGGATTGATATTACATAACACTTTATCACTTGATTCTTTTTTATTTTCCTATTCTATTTAGCTTTTGGAAAGCATCTTTCACTATTCCAATTTGTTTTTGGATTTTGATGTCATATTTTCAATCATCTGTTAAAACACTTTCAAGATAATTAAATTTCTGTACTTGCTTGATTTTAGCATATTCATTTCTTTGATATTAAGCCATCCTTTTTGCTAATGACCATACATTGTCTTCTTATAATCAAAGGTTAGTCCTTTCTTCCTGCTTTCCTCTACTACCTTGATGAGAAACTCCTTTTTATGTCTGCTATCAAATAATGTTAGTAGAAATTATAGGTACTGCAACCAGAAATAATACTTTTTTCAAATTCTTTTTCATATTACTATAGTTTATGCACTCCAGATCACAGATATATAAAAAAAAAACGCTATAAAAGTTAATAGGGTGTCCAGTTTGCTATTTAAATTCATTGTAAAGTGCTCTCCCTACAAAAGTCAAAACAAATATGATTTCTTAAAATGTAAAAAAGATTTTTTAAAAATGTTAAAATTTACAATTCACAATTTTTAAATCTCCTTTTGACATACAGACATGAATATCAGTGAAAACAGACATCATCTACATTGTTAATCCTTTTGGCTTGACCGACTTCCTAAACACCAAATTTGACTATATAACTATACATCATATTTGGTGGGGAGAAGGGCTTTTGGTTTAGGTCAAGAAATTTCCATTACACCCTTGTGTAGGTATGTGTGTATATATATATATATATATATATATATATATATATTTAAGCAGCATATCTTCATTCAAGCATGTTTCATTAAATAATATAGACATTTATTTATTTTTACAATAATCCTTTCTAGTTTTCTAATTATCTTCTTGATGTGAAGGTGAAATTCATCAAGGAAGATGCCATGGTTCTTGTTATTCCAAGTATTTTTGATCTTCTCTGAGATCATCCCCAGTGGTGAATTGTGAAGACAAAGTTAATGTAACCTCTCTAACTATGAATTAACACAACACCAAAAGGAATTGCTCAATTTTGGACCTGTCATCTTTATAAACAATACAATAGATTGCACAAAAAGCTGAAATTGAAATGTTACATCAAAATATACAAAAACTTAAAGAACAACAACTAATTAAAACATTCAGAAATTTGTGACTTGCTAAAAGCCGAAGCAATAAAAAACAAGCATGACAAAGTGAAAAACACCTCCACACTCCTAACAAACCAATTAAAAATTGCTGCCAAGGAACTACATAACTATACTTAGATAACTATTAAAAAAAACAGATAAAACCAATATTTTTGTTGTATTAAGTAAATCTGATTAACAAAAATATTGGTTTTATCAGTATTTTTTGTTGTATTAAGTAAATCCAATTAGTAGGAGGAACGGTGAAGTAATGGATAGCGGCTCAGATTGGGGAATCAGAGAGCTGAGTTTCAATTCCAGTCGAATCCATTACATTCATTTACATGTTAATATCCTTGGAAAAGGCATGAATCCTCTTCCCCCCCCCAATATGGGTAAGTAGCAGGACAGACCGGGTTCTATAGCCTTGGATGGCAATTGGTCAACCACAGAAAGAAATGGCAGCCTACTGCAAAAAAAAAAAAAAAAAAAAAAAAAAAATCGCCTTATCAGTCATGTATCAAACATGGAATACATGTTTAGACATGATAGTCTAAGCATGTATCCCACATGGTACATAACTGACTGAAATCCAATTATAATTCGAAATTGAAGAAAATCCTTGACAATCATACCAAATTTTAAAATGTCAATAAAAATCCTATTTACCAACTGAAATTAAAAAATAATAAACTGATCACAGCTAACAACGCAGAACAGGAAAACTTAAAACTCCAAAATAATTGGAGATTACAAATCAGGATACATGTATGGGACTATAAAAATACACCAGCCTACATTCCCTCTTTGTTTCATCATATCCCAAATCCCTATCCCAGTTTATCAATTAACCAAAATCATTAACCAGCTCATTACACCATACATACCTAGTAGATACAGTATTAAATCAACTCACAATCTAATCCAAATCTTAAAAAACTAATAGTGAAACAATAACCTCACTTGATGTTGAAAGTTTATTTACCAATGTCCCAGTTAAAGAAACAATTGATATAATTATAAAGAATATTTACAATAATCCAACCCTCCCTCCATTAAAAATTAAGCCCAATATATTATGAAAACTACTTTTGACTTGTATCAGAGGTTCCCTTCTATGACCACCAAAATAACATACATACAACATGATGGTGTTTCCATGGGTTCAATTCTGAGACCAACATTTAGTAACTTCTACATGGCTAACCTTGAAAATAAGATATTTAATACCACTACAAAAAAAATCCATCTACCTAAAATATGTACATGATATTCTTATCTTAGTTAAAAACATAGATGAAATACACAAGCTACAAGAAAAGTTTCAAAACTCTGTTTTTAACTTTACATATGAAGTCAACAATAATAATTCCTTTTCTTGATGTACTGATAGACACCAATAATAATACATTTACTACTTCCCCACATAAAAAACAAACTAGCATAAACACATGCACTCTAAACTATAAAAGAGAATGTCCTGACTATTACAAAATAGCTATTATAAAAAATTTAATAAATCATGCAAAAGTTAACTCTTCCATGAAAAAAATATTCTACACTGAATTAAAAAACATTAAACAAACTCATTAATAAGGACTTTCCTAATTACATTGTTGATGGACAAATTAGATGAGCCATTAAAAATAGTAACAAATCATAGAGAACATAATACTTCCTCAAATAAACCTAAACATATCAACCTACTATACCATAATCAAATGCATTCTAACTATAAACAAGATAAAAAAAAATCCTAAAAAAATCTCATAAGTACTAATATATTCCCCACTGATACCAGTAAAAAAATCCGTCAACTAGCATTTTGCAAAAGACCAACATTTTATACTGGTTTAAATGTCCTTTGGGAGATTGTATCTCTGACAAAAAAGTAAGTACATATGTTGACTTGACTACAACAACATTATCAAGATGTCTTATACTCCATTTATCATATACAAGTTCTATTGCACAACATTTAAAGATACATTCTGTCCACCTTCACAATACAGGAAAATACTAGTTGACAACACAAATATACTACACCATGAATATAATAAACAATAACTTCAAATTCTTGAGGCCCTCTATATTAAAAACAACCAACCAACACTGAAAAAGATTTATTATGAGTATAGCAGCAATGTTTTAAAATGCATTTGAGTGGACTAATATTTAACATTTTGAATTTAACATCTCTGGTTACCCATCTTGCATTGGGAATGATTGTTTACAAAACATTGTAACCAAAATGATTAATTTTAAAATAACTATAATTACAACAGAACATATTTACAAGAATGTGTGTTTACATTACAGAATGAGCTTGAAAGAGATTGAAACTACCTGGGTTAACAAAAAATATGACACCCTCCTTAATGAATTTCATCTTAACATCAAGATAATTAGAGAACTAGAACAGATTATTGTAAAAATAAACAAACATAATATGTCTATATTATTTAATGATATATATATATATATATATATATATATATATATATATGATTTTCAAATAAATTATATTTGCTCTACTCTGTATTGAGCACTCTTTTAAGAATAGTATTTTTTGGTTTTTGAAATTTATTCCATATACACCAATCCTATACGTGGATATATATATATATATATATATATATATATATACATACACACACTTTATTTTAGGATATTAAATCAAAAACATTTAAAAACACTATACAAATGCAATCATGTTTCAATGTGTATTAACACATCTCATCAGATGTGAAATGACTAGTGAATAGACAATTGAGATTTAAAAACAACATACCCCCTCTTTACATGAGAAAAGAAAAGAAATGGATATATATATATATATAAGATGACACTGAAATAGTTCATTAAAAGTTAAGTATTCTTTTTCATTTATTTTTGGTTGATGATTCAATTTTATTTTGTACTTAAAAACCTTTAGCAAAAACCTGATTTTATAGGTAAATTGTATTATGGGAAAATCAAAAAAGCAGAAACTTATGCCAATCACACTTGAACAATAAAATAAACTGTTTTTAGATTAACTTCAAACAGAAATAACCGATTTCAACAAACTTGAAATATATGGAATTTCATACAAATATTTGTTAGCAATGCCACCATGACGTTACTTGGATTGTTAGCTCCTGTTTTTATTGATCTTTTTCTTTTTAACCATTTCACCTCAACCAAGGCAATAAAGCCACTAAGATGAAACGGGTTACTGAGTGTGAGAGAACAGGAGAGAAAAAGAACATTATTAAACAGAGAGAATAATAAAAGAACTGGAATTAAGAAGACAGAAGATAATAATTGACATTGCATTTCTATTTTTGAAAATCAAAATTGACTGAAAAGTAAGAAACTAGAAGAGAGTTCAACAATTGAGTTGTGCAAAAGAAGAAATTGTTAGCATGAAATTTATGGTTACATTTAGACATTTCAATTGTAAAATAATGAGACCTTGCTGCCAATCTAGTACTGCATTTAAATTCATAAATTCCATGTACAACAGAGGTAAAATCATTAGCACAATTACAATGAAAATATTTATAGAAAAGGCATAGGGAAGCTATGTTACAGCGGTGAGAAAGGAACTTAAATTGAAATGACTAATGACATTGCAGATTCTTCTATAGATTCTGTGAAGAATCTCTAGATATAGAAGCAGAAGCACCAAACCAGATGTAGCAGCAATATTCGATGCACAGACAAATGGTAGATTTATAAATATGCTAGATGGATTCTAGTTAGAAAAACTGTTTAGTGAACTAACTTTCCTTTGCAACAGACCTAGCAATTGATTCAATAACATCTTTCCACTTCATGTCAATGGAAAATGTTACACTAATAAGGTACATCGGGATTAACTTTTTTAAAATAATTATAAAATGAGTTAGTCTCCTGAAGTTTTAGCAATCAGCCAAGAACTATAGCGAATTTATCACAATAATTCATGGTGTCTATATTATTTAATACATACCTTCATCAAAAAACATGTTTTAGTTTCCTGTATTTGTGTATCAGACATAAATAACTGGTGAGTACAAAAAGGCCATCAAGCAAAAACTATACAATTGCTGATCAGTGGAAAATGGAGTCTCCTGAAGGAAGCAGATGCAGCCACATTTCATCTGCAGCTTGAAAGGCTCCCTGGATGTCTCCACAAACTCCATATGCCTTGATCATTGCTTTAAAGGTGATTGGATGTAGTGTTACATTTTTGTCTTTGATTAATTGGTGTAGATTGTGTGTTCGTTGCAGGCCATCATTTGACCAAGGTGAATTGGAGCAGCAGTTGAAGAGGCAGGTATAAGTGTGTCCATCTGGTCGTATACCCATTTTCTTCATCTAAAAATACGAAAAGTAGATAAAATATATATTATAAGTGAATAATCACAGAAAATGAAGTCATGTATCATTGGCCATGGTTAAGCTTAACTGGGGAAAATTCCCAATAAATAATAATGAAGAGAAAGAAAAAATGAAAAAAGGCAAAATAATACAAGACTATATAATGCAAATCAAAAGCAAAGCAACAAAGACAGTAATAAAGGAAAAAGGTTCACAAAGTAGGAATGGTATTCAGATGCAAAAGAGATACAGTCAAGTGTTTATAACTTTATGACTTTAAGGAAAGAAAGACCAAGAGTTTTCATTTCTTTTATTTGTTAGGAAGAAATCCCAGCATGCATCTGTAGGATTTATCTATAGATTTGAGGGTTTTTTTTTTTTTTTTAGCAGTTATTCCACAGATTGGAACCAACAATGAATAATTACATAGAAAGATTGATTGTTTTTTATGGCTTATCAACCCTTTGTAGTTATTTAAAGCCAAAACATATTTTGGATTATAAGAAAAATTCTTTTTTTTTTTTTTTTTATGCATATTGCATCAATAACTTTTTTTTGAAGATAAGAGTTTTTCCTGATACAGGTACTATTATTTAACCTGCAACTGGAGGGAGAAGAGTGTCAAAAAAATTTCATGATCAGATATAAATAGAAATGATTATAACTGAATGTGTAGCATTGTGGCAAGATTCAGGAAATCTGAATAGTATTAAATGTAGCATGGACTTTGAGTACCAGTGTGCAAACAATCAGCAAGGGAACTATTCTGAAAGAGTTGAAACAAATGTTGTGCTATGGTAAGTTTTTTCATGGCCAAATTATCCAAGCTTTGGGATAGCACTTCAGGTGTGAGTTGCTGAAATGTTCTCAGCCTAACCCACTTCCTAAAATATGACCAAATCATCAAATATTAGGACTTTTTTTGGATTGGGGGAATGTTTCTTTCTTTATCAGGTCATGTGACTAAAAATAAATTGAACTCATCTACAACAACTGATAAAAACAGATTTTTAATTTTTCATTCTGAAGTTCTGAGACAAAATCATATTTCTGCAAATATTCAAATGAGATTTTTCACTTCTCTTTTTTTTTGTAAACTAGTTGACTATTGTAGTCATGACCAATCATGATTCCCATAACTCATTAGAATCATAGGGCCACCACATGTACTGCAGCAGCAGCAGCAGCAGCAGTAGAAGCAGTGTGTCTAGTGCAAGATAGCCTGACAGAATCCAACCCTCCCCAGGCTGGTTTGAACTCAGAGTTTTCCTTCTCCTAGACCAGTTGCCACCTAAGGCTATAGAATCCAGTCTATCCTCAGGAATATAATGAACTCAACTGGAATTTGAATCTCAATTCCTCAATCTTCGCCACAATCCATTACCCCACCATGCATCCATTATTATAATGTTGTGTACCAAATACAAGTGCTGGCACAATTAAGTTATTACCTTTCATTTTCCTTCTAGCATGGAGCATATTTAGTATGACACACTCATTATTTTTCAAATGATTTTCTCTGGACATGATTATTTTTTATTATATTAAACTTCTCTAAGAATTCCTGAAAGAATGTCTATTTGAAATGTCAGGTTTATTTTATAATTTAAAAAGTTTCCAATGATATGACTATTTCAGATGGTACTTAATAACTCAATACAACTACCATCTGGAGTAGTAATGCAATTGGAAACTTAGAAATCAACTCCACTTCTGTTAATTAAAGTAAAGTGAAGTTGATTTCTTTTTTAATGAATTTTAGCAAATGAATGCATTCATGTGAAATGTTTTTAAAACATCATTCTGTATATCAATTTCATAAACTACTATTTTTGCTTAAGGTTTATAAAACATCAAATTAGTGTACATACCTGTGTATTTAAATGTGTTGAACAGTATGTGTGATACAGTATTTGTTTATTTTAATTTTTTATCCAAACAACAAAAAAACCCCCAAAAAACTGTCAATGAAGACTTAGAATTCTACCTAGCAATTAACTTGAGTTATAATAAATTATGGTTGCGTCTCCCCAACCCACCACTTTTTTTTTTTTTAACTTGTTGATTATTTTGCTTAACAAAAGTGAACCAGGTGTTGTAAACTTTGATGTGTGGGTGGTGTAATGGATAGTACCTTGAAATTTTTGAGCTGAGTTCCAAGTCCATATTTACTTATGCTCTTGGGAAAGATATGAATTCACCACTTTCCCCCAGCTATGGGTTAATTAGTAAGACTTGTATCACTTCACTAAATAATTCTTATCTCAAAAGAAAAAATCTAACAATCTGAAAATATTTTCTGGCTTTAAATAACCTGAAATGGATTGATATGCTGTAGAAAAAAAATGCAATAACAAAAGTGGAGGTAATTTCTTATTGCTTGAATTTTAGTTTCAAGATATGTTGTCTGGTTTGAATAAATAAATACACTTGTGTGAAAAAATTGGGTTTTTAAATGTTCATTCTGTATATCAATTTCATAAACTACTTCTTTTGCTTAAAACATCAGATTAACATCCATACCTGTGTATTAATTCATAATATATATTTGCTTATCTGTCTGAAGTTCCAAGGGGAAATATTGACATTATCCTCAAAAGTATCTTCATCTTGGTTGTTTTGAGCAGCAAATATGTTCTCCAAAACCAACCCTCATCAAATGCAAATTGCATCCAGCAATCAGGAACAGTAAACAAAATCACAGATCACAATTTGGCACCATTCTATTTGTATTCTGTGATCTTTTTAAAGCTATTTCATGTTATTTCACCAAAAGATTTAAAGCAGTCATGCGAACAAAAAGAGAAAATTTAATAGTGTGAAAAATGGAAGTGATCAGAAAAAAAGACAATCCCTGTACAATGACAGGTTTCACTGTACAAGAAATTACATCAGCTGCTAATTTTTCCAATACATTAGTCTCCCTTTATCTGTGGTGATTATGGTTGAAGACCTCCCACCAACAGATGCCTGAAACCATAGATGATATGCAAATTTGTGTTTGCTACTCCCACTATGAATGCTGCTATTGCTATAAATATAGACACTGTGTAGCTGATAGCATGAATGTTTATTTAAATTAACTCCTTTGTAATGAAACCTGTGGCACTCTTTTAGCATAAAGCTTCCAAGTAAGATTAGTCAGACATTTATAGCACCAAATCAGGATTGGTACTGTAAGTGCCTGTTTATATATTATACTATGCTTTTTGTTATATATATATATATATATATATATATATATACACCTATAAGAAGGTTTAATTTTAAAATTAGGCAAAATGTATATATTAATATGCTTGTACCTATATATGGTATATGTCACAAATACTGAGAGTGAAACAGAAAGAGAAAAGAGCATAGAGAGTAAAACAGAGAGAGAGGAATATAGAAAGACAAAAAGAGAGTGTGACATAGAGAAAGATTGGAGGAGGGGTTTCGTTGGTCTGTTTTACGGTATATCAACCTCAGTGGGTTATTTAATGCCAACAAAATTTTTATTGCTGGTAATATTCTTTTTTTCAAAAACATATGTCAGGTAATATTTTTTTCTTCAAAAAATCTATTGCTGGTAATATTTTTTTCTTCAAAAATATATATGCTGGTAAGTTTTTTTTACAAAGTATTTCTGTTATTAAAATCTATTTTTATACTTTCATACTGTTTTGACCCCAGTTTGGGGGTTAACTATTTGCCCATAGATGGGACCTTAAGTGCTACCACCCTGGGTTAGGTTGGACCTGGGAACACCAACAATTAAGAGGTGGTTCCACACTCCTCAAAACCTCCTGATCAGAGTCCTTACTGTTGGTCATAGTTTATCATCTTACCCAGGACGTGTGCGTGTAAATATTAGCAAGCTAAAATTAATTCACATAATTTCCGTGAGGCGAGGTGTGGTTGACAAATAAGTTTCATGTCCATGGGCCGATTTTAGATAAGAACGTTCCAGAGCAGAACTTCTCCACTTTCTAAACTGGGGGAACACAATATTTTTTTACAAAAACAAATGCCTCTCATCAATTACAAGAACTCATTTGCAGCTCAATTTTGTTATCCCAGCCACTAATCGATTGGAGGTGGGGGATCAGCTTTGACAAAGGCAGGGGTTAAATTGTTTCGTAACCTAACAATCTGTTAAGGGCATTTCCGTATTTTTAAGAAAGACTATGTCATTTTCTTATTCTATCTAGTAATGGTTTTGCGATTTGAAAAGTACAGAGTGCAGCATTAAAAAATTTATTAGTAAATCCATGTAATTTACACAGGTCATACTAGCAAAATATTAACAACAATAACTACTACTAATAAAATAAAACAACATATAAAAGTTGTGTGAGAGAAGTTTTCAGTCTTAGTGTAGACCTTAGCAAATAGCACATCATCTTCTTATTTTCTTATTAAAACCTTTTTCTCTTAACAGTAGTACTTTACTTCCATTCTATGGGATAATCATACTACTATCATCAGTACAAATATACTTGGTAGGGAACATTATTAAATAAAACTTATGGATTGTTTATTTCTGGAGTTGGCCATTGGGATCTGAAACTGCATATGAAAGGCAACAACTATACATTTGTTTACAATTTCTTACAGTTTAACCTTTACCACTCTGTATGTAACTTCATTTGCTATGTAAAAAGTTTATCCTGACACTGAAGGTGACTGATCCCTGAATTTGAATTTGTTTGAATTTCATACTTGTGTTGTCATATCCAGCTTTGGAAACAAAAAACACCTTTGAGTGAAATTAACAATAATTTTACTGCAATTGAGAGGCCTTGAAAAAGAATTCAGTGGAAAAGCAAGTAATATTAATAATGCATAGGGTAATGAATGACATCTTAAAGCAATTATCTATGTTATGTCACTTGAGTATGTGAAATCTTTCAATTTTTTGTTTGTAAATTTCAGTTCTCCTTGTCTAGTTTCTGATGTAAGATTAGATTTATGTTTAAAATCTTACTTTGTTAAATAATTGGAAGGCTTTTTTTGTGTACCCAACATTGCCAAGAATCCCAAACAACTGGTTGAAAACGTAAGTTGTGGGCATAACTCGATCTCTCTTTAACATGGTCTCTTCCAACATATCAATGGCTTCCAATACCTAGAAAAAGAAGGAAAAAAAGTCATTTTAGTTATGAACACCAATCTTGAAAATTACTTTATTTCTTTGCCAATAAACTCTATATATTCTTCCACAAGCAGAAACGAAAGGGTTGAGAAAAAATAAAAAATCTGTCCTAATCTGTCTACTATAATACATCTGAAAAGGTTCAAAGGATCTGAGGTCCATACATCATTAGGACAGTATGTAGAAACTAGTCAACACTCTAGAGAAACTTCTGCTGAAACAGAACTCTCTTAGTAGAAAACATGATTAAGAAGTGTATATATTCCATCCCATGCAGTTGTGGAAAATAATACAATGGGTAGACTAGCTACTTCCTACAAGTATGTGTGGAAGATCATTGGAAAGCTCTCAATGAGACACTGAAATCAGACATGGCTGAATATATATGTGGGTGCTGTGACTAAGACTGAATTCACTCAGTCTTTGGATGGTCCCTGTGCCATTGCTACCTCAAAGTTCAGATGTTATTTCTGTGGAGAAAATCAGTGATAGAATCTACCTATCATAAATGTAGCATTTTGTGGAAGTGTGCTGGTCAGCTCTGCTACTTGCATCCGCTCAACCTCATACACTGGTGTTATAATGAGCATTTGGTTGCAAAAGTAAGGGAATAACAAGGATTAGATTTTCAAACAGCAAGTGTTTGTTTAATATACAATATATTTATGGTTGTTAGAAAATTAGAGAAAATGTTGATTTCAGTCACTGATCATCAGAAATGTGATTAGGTGTAAGGGTAGTGCCAGAGTTGACTGATTTCTTGGGTTTGTTTGGCCAAGGTCATGGGATAGGTCTGCAGTAGATTTAGTCATGGGTTAGGTTTGACACAAATGTTGATTGATTGAGTTCACAGTGGTACGTTGGTTGATTCGTGGTAGGGTGTGTTGGTTGCCAAGGTGACAGCAGTGGTAATGAGGGATTAGGTGTAGCTAGTAGGTCTGTGGCAGGTCGAATGTTGTATCAACAAACAGGGGTCAAGGTGGTGACAGTGAGGTTAGGCCTGTAGCAAGTCAAGTGGAGTATTCAGTTGGATTTGACACAAATGTTGTATCAATGAAATAGGAGTCATGGTGGTGACGGTGATGTTAGGCCTGTAGTAAGTCAGATGGAGTGTTCAGTTGGATTTGAGACAAATGTTGTATCAATGAAATGGGGTTGCGGTGGTGACTATGAAGGTATGCCTGTAGCAAGTCAGGTTGCCGAGGTAACAGTGGTGGCAACAAGGGATTAGGTTTAGCTGGTTGATCTGTAGTGGAATGATTCAGTTGGATTTATTGTATCAATAAAACAGGGTTGCAGTGATGACTGCAAGTGTATGCCTGTAGTGAGTTAAGTGAAGTGTTTAGTTGGATTTGGGATGAATGTTGTATCAACAAAGTGGAATCACAGTGGTGATGGTGAGGAAAGCCTGCAGCTGGGTGGTGACTATGTCAAGTTTAGTGAAGCCTGGGAATGTTAACAGTTGTGCTGAGAGAAGCAGTCATGGTGGTGAAAGTGGGTTTTTTGGGGTCTCTAGGTCCACTTATTTTTATATAAAAAAAAAAATTTTTTTAAATGTTTTTCCATATAGTTTTAGTTTCATCTATTTTCATTTTTTTTGTAATAAATACAATTAATCCCTGTTTATTTATCCCATTTATTTCATATATATAAAATAAAATTTTTTAAATGCAACTTATATTTTTAAAATAAAAATCTGTAATCCATGTATAATATATGAACTCTGCCAACATTCCATTAACCAAATATTTTTATTCAAATTTAAATTATGTAACAGTCAGTCTCTACCCAGCACCTGAACATTGCATTGTGCATGAAACTCTGAGTCATGCTGCTGGTGAGGGATAATACGTTTATTTATTAATATATACATAATAGCACTATTATATTACATTGAGCACCATTTTATTAACACCAGCACTATGTAATATACAGTGTAACCCGGATATAAGAGAGTTGTCGGGACCGGAGAAGAAGTCTCTTATATCCGGGTTTCTCTTATATCCGGGTTTGGTCTATTTTGTTACATTAACACAGGCTCTAATTTGGGACCAGAGAAAATCTCTCTTATATCCGGGTTTCTCTTATATCCGGGTTACACTGTATGTATATATATATATATATATATATATATATATATATATATAATAATATATATAAAAATTTTCAAATTTCAATTTGCAGAAAGTAATATATAGACAAACAGCGAGTAACCTACATAATAAGCTTGTGTAAACAAATGGTAAAACATGGAGTGGGAGGGAATAGTAAAATAGACAAATATTGCTAAGAGTTACAATGGATAGGAAATTGTGGAGAGCTATGATCTCCCTGAAGGGACACAACATATAAAAGAAGATGAATATAAAGACTCAGATCGAAACTGACAAAATAAAATCATTCCCATGTTTACAAGGTAAAATATAAAACAGAAATAAAAAAAAAAAAATCAACTTCACTCACCTTCCCTTCCTTGCCAAGTTTACTGATCTGTTTTGCATACCAGTAGGGCTCTTGGAATCTTCTTACTTTTGATAACCTGATATGTGTACGCCCTTCCTTGGCATCTGATTCATCATCCAAAAACCTAGAGTAGCCATAATATTATAATATAAATAGAACACATCAAAGATTTAAACAACACAAGAACAAAACAAAATTCAACGAATCTTAGGCACCTAACAGAAGGGTAAAGATGTGTTTTTGGGGGTTTTTTTGAGGAAATTTTCCAATCCTCTTCCCACAAGCTTATTATGACAACCTTATTTACTAATTTCACATTTTTGACCCTTTAAATGATTTTCTGATTCCACTCTTATTAAGACCATCTCCATTTATTGCATATTGGGAAAAATTCCGACTCTCCCACCAATTATTAGAACCACAACTTGTATTAGATCTTTTCCTTCCCATTTAAATTTAATATTACAGCATTATGAACTTAGATAACGCACAAGTAATTGGCAATTTATTAGCTTATTCCAATATCTCAACTTTGACCCAAGAAAAAAAATGGGGAAATGTGTGTGATCTTGTATGCCATCCAATACAATAAATCATCCTGAAAAAATAAAGAAATTATTATTTACAGTTTCAAACACCAACTATGTACAAAATGAAAACATAAAAACAATTATTTTTAATTTTCCCCCCAAAACAAAATTCTTCTGATCTGCTGTTCTTCTCATTTCTACTCAACAAACTTACTGTCTTCGGTTGCATAACTACCCACAGATTCATTACCGGCATTTAAACAGTCTGTCAGAAAAGCTTTTGAATTTAAGAATAAAGATTCCACAACACTACTTGAAAGCACAATTTACCTTACTATTCATAGATATATTACTGATGTTCTTAGTATCAAAAAAAAGATTTATTTTTTCAATTCTACTTGTAATTTTATGAGAATGTCAGAAAGAGACAGATAAAATTTCTAGAGCATATAATGAGAAAAGAGGGCTTAGAAAACTTGACAGAGAGAGAACATATCGAAAGCAAGAGGAACAAAGAAAAACAGTGCATAATTTACCTAACGAGCTTGTATAAATGGTGGGCAAGAACAGGAATTAGGAGACAGTGAAAAGATAAAATTTACTAAGAGTTATAAAAGACATGAAATTGTGGAGAGCCATGATCACCAATGTCCTGAAGGGCATATAGAAGAAGTCTTAATCCAAATTAAGGTACCTTTCCCATAAAGCAGATCTATTAGTAATGGTTTATGAGATTCTATAGTAAAGTACACCTACTTTATTAACATACATTATGTAATGTTCTGGCTCTGATAAAATAAAAAGATCCTTCTAAATAATGACTTCTAATTCTTTCTTTAACCATTTGAGGGTCAATGTCCAAATGCATTCACAATTTTCATACACACTCAGTCTGGATGCGCTTGAATACACCAGCAATCGGGAAGCGGTGTACAGTATTAATGTTCATCACATGACCAACTAGAGGCACCTGAAATCTACAATTTTGTAAAAGTTGAATGTTTTTTGATGAATTTGTTTTTTATGGTTTATCAACTCTTTCTGTATATTATTTAAAGCCAAAATATATTGTGGATTGTAAGAATAAAACTTTTTTTCTTTTGTGAGTGAATATTGCATTAACAATTTTTTTTGAGATAAAGATTTTTCCAGATACACATCTTACTGTTTAACCCATGGCTGGAGGGAGAAGAGGTGAATTCATACCTTTCTCAAGGGTCCTTGCATGTAAGTGAATATAATGAATTCAATTGGAATTTGTACTCAGCTATCTGATTTCTTATTCTAAGCTGTTATCAATTATACTAGTTACACATTATGTAAAAGTTGTGGATTTCCAAAACTATATCTCATCATTGGTACCAACAGAGTTAAATATAACTGTTTGTTTTTTTGTTTTTTTTTTGTCTAAATCTCAATTTGGTCTTTTGTAACTGTTCTTATGTTTAAAAAAAAAGCTTAGAAATAATATTCAAATCCAGACAAAGTTCAAAACTCAAAGAATTCTCACAGACCTTTGTTCTCTGACATCTTCTACCAGTCGTAGCAATGAATGATCATCTGACAAGTTTCCAAAAGTGTTAGCTTCTTTCTTTAGTTTTTGAGTTTCTTCAGATATTTTCTGTTTAAAATTTTTCTCTTTTTTCTTGGTGATCTCTCTTTGGGCTTTGGAATAATCCAATTTGGGGACATTTCTTTGTTTTTCTTTCCATATATCACCAAAAGAATCAGATTCCTGAAGATCAAGTTTTGTCCCCTTCCACTTTTTCTCGTCTTCCATTTCTGAAAGAGTGAGGACTCTATGATGAAGTTTCTTCTTGTAAACTGCATTTTGAGTACCAGTTTTTGGATCACCATTGGAGGCCTTGATCTCAGAGTTAACACTGGAATCGGCTTTAAGAGTCTGATCAAGATTGACACTGGGTTGAGATGATCTTGCTCCAGTGGTGCTGGAGGTGAAATAAAAGCTACCAGACTGGCTAGACAAATAATTTAATATTATCGAGTTCTTGGTAATTTGTTTTCTGAACTCTTGAAGACACAGAAAACGAAGTGCCATAATTAAAGATGTTCATCAAAGATCTGGAAAAAAAAAAGAAAAAAAAAAGCATGTTTTTTTTAATTTAAGGCTAATACACAAGTAATTTGAAAAAGAAAAAAGAAACAAGTTTCATATATATATATATGTTCTCATTTATGACCTGCAATGTAATAGCATCTTTTTAAATAGTAGAGTTTGCAGTCAAAAAAATTCACCTGAATATGGTCAAAAAATTAAGTGGTAGAAACATTATGCATTCTTAGACTGAAGAAATGAAGACACCAATTTGGATGAATCTTTGTTTGCCTTTCATTTCAAAACTTTAGCTACTTTATACAGAGACATACTTCTAAATACAAACAAACAAAAAAAAAAAGGTCATATGACGTAATTTCTTAAAAAATTTGATTTTAAATTTTGAAATTCATAATCAGTAGTTTTCAATCAAGAGTAATACATGAAAAAAATAAACAAAAAAAGTCCAGATTACAAATTCTAAGAAATCACATCATATGAATATTTGTTTTGTAGGGGGATCAACTTACAATGAATTTAAACAGAAAACTGGACCCCCTATTAACTTTTAAAAGATTTAATGAAAAAAAAATCTGTTTTTTATATCTGTGATCTGGTGTGCATAAACTATAGTAATAGGAAAAAGAATTTGAAAAAAGTATTATTTCTGGTTGCAGTACCTATAATTTCTACTAACATTATTTGATAGCAGACATAAAAAGGAGTTCCTCATCAAGGTAGTAGAGGAAAGCAGGAAGAAAGGACTAACCCTTGATTATAAGAAAACAATATATGGTCATTAGCAAAAAGGATGGCTTAATATTGTAACAATATTTAAGATGGCATATGGACGAAAAGGGTTAAAAAGTCAATTTTATTCTTTTTGTCAGAAAGGGATTCATTTTCCAAGGATATTGAGAACAGGTTAAAAAAGTTACACAATGGGATTGTTACTTTTCAGCGAGACTCAGCTGGCAGGTTTAGGGGCCAGAGGTTAAGGTCGCCTGTTGAAAGGTGTCCGATGTATACATGCTGAGAAAATTGTCAGCCAAAATTTCCCCAAGAAAAAATTATAATTGTGAAAACAGAATGAGCAATTGTAAAGGGAGAAGATGACATCAGGAAGGCTGATGTCATATAATGGCTTCTCCCGAAAGAGGAGGAGATCTTCCAAAATTGGAAGTGTGGAACAGAAAACAAAAGAAAGAGACTGGTTGAATTTTAGGTGATTTGCATAAAACCCACTTATTCACCCGCACCAGACCAGTTGGAAGGGACACCCATAAATACAAGTGCCCACGGGGGCTAAAGTTGCAGTTGAAGTTGCAATGGGGATTTCTGCCATAACACTGTTTTGCCAACCTAATGATAATAATAATAATTATCTGTTGCTGAAGAAAAACTCCGATGATAAACCTTGTGCCGTTCTTGAAAGTACAAACAACAGTACTTGAAGTTAAATCCAGTTGTCGCTGAAGAAAGACTCTGACAATAAACCTTGTGCCATTCTAGAAAGTACAAACCACAGTACTTGAAGATAAATCCAGTTGTCAAATCTGGCCACCCTTAAAGTAGTTACTCAAAATTTTTGTTCCGTTACCAATGCCGCCATAATATCCAAGAAATGAATATGCTAAAATCAAGCAAGTACAGAAATTTAATTATCTTGAAAGTGTTTTAACAGATGATTGAAAATATGACATCAAAATCCAAAAACAAATTGGAATAGTGAAAGATGCTTTCCAAAAGCTAAATAGAATAGGAAAATAAAAAAGAATCAAGTGATAAAGTGTTATGTAATATCAATCCTTCAATATGGAATGAATACTAAACAATTTCCTCACAAATGAAGCAGAGATTTGAAACAACAGATATGGTTCTACAGAAGGATGCTGAGAATAATATGGATAAATATGTTACCAATGAGGAAGTTTTAAGGAAATCATAAACTATAAAGATACTTATATTTAAAATCAGTAAGTGAAATTTGAAATTTCTGGCTGACATAATGAGGAAAGGAGGCTTCTAAAAAGATTTTAATTACCTTCTCCTTATTATTTTTTGATTTTCAACAAAGAGCAATAAAAATACAAAAGCTAAAAATACAAGCAGTCATGTGGCATTGCTAACAAATATTTGAATGAAATTCCATATATTCCAAGTTTGTTGAAGTCAGTTATTTCTGTTTGAAGTTAAAATAAAAACAGTTTACTTTATTATTCAAGTATAATTGACATAAGTTTGTGCCTTTTTCATTTTCCCACCATCCAATTTACCTGTGAAATCAGGTTTTTGCCAAAGTTCTTTAAGTACAAATAAAACTCAATCATCAAAAAAAAAAAAAAAAAAATACTAAACTTTTAATGAACCATTTCAGTGTCGTGTATATATATATATATATATATATATCCATTTCTTTTCTTTTCTCATGTAAAGAGGGGGTATTTTGTTTTTAATTCTCAATAAATTGTCTACTCACCAGTCATTTATTAACACCTGATGTGTTAATACACATTGAACATGATTGCATTTGTGTAGAGTTTTTACATGTTTTTGATGTAATATCTTAAAAATATATATATATATATATATATATATATATATATATATATATATATATATATATATTTCATTAAATAATATAGACATATTACATTTATTTATTTTTACAATAATCCATTCTAGTTCTCTAATTATCTTCTTGATGTTAAGTTGAAATTCGCTATAGTTCTTGTTAACCCAAGTACTTTCAATCTCCTCCACAATCATCCTCAGGAGTGAATTGCTAAGATAAACTTAATGTAATTGTAATCATTGTGGTGGTGATTTTTGTAAACACACATTCATGTGAACATGCTCTGTTATATTTATAATTATTTTAAAGTTAATCGATGTGGTTACAATGTTTTGTAAACATGCATTCTCCTTCAGGAGACTAAATCATTGCACTTTATTAGGGTAACATTTTCCACTAACATGAAGTGGAAAGATTTTATTGAATCAATTGCTAGGTCTGTTGCAAAGGAAAGTTAGTTCACTAAACAGTTTTTCTAACTAGAATCCATCTAGCATATTTATAAATCTACCATTTGTCTGTGCATCGAATATTGCTGCTACATCTGGTTTGGTGCTTCTGCTTCCTATATCTGAGATTCTTCACAGAATCTATAGAAGAATCTACAATGTCATTAGTCATTTTCAATTTAAGTTCCTTTCTCATGTAACACGCAAGCTTCCTATGCCTTTTCTATAAATATTTTCATTGTAATTGTGCTAATGATTTTTACCTCTGTTGTACATAGAATTTATGAATTTAAATGCAGTACTAGATTGGCAGCAAGGTCTCATTATTTTACAATTGAAATGTCTAAATGTAACCATAAATTTCATGCTAACAATTTCTTCTTTTGCACTACTCAATTGTTGAACTCTCTTCTAGTTTCTTACTTTTCAGTCAATTTTGATTTTCAAAAAAATGCAATGTCAATTATTATCTTCTGTCTTCTTAATTCCAGTTCTTTTATTATTCTCTCTGTTTAATAATGTTCTTTTTCTCTCCTGTTCTCTCACACTCAGTAACCCGTTTCATCTTAGTGGTTTTATTGTTTTGCTTGGGGTGAAATGATTAAAAAAGAAAAGAAAAAGAGCAATAAAAACAGAAGCTAAAAATCCAAGTAACATCATGGAGGCATTGCTAACAAATATTTGTATGAAATTTCATATATTTCAAGTTTGTTGAAGTCAGTTATTTCTATTTGAAGTCAAACTAAAAACATTTTATTTTATTATTCAAGTAAGATTGACAAGTTTCTGCCTCTTTCATTTCCCCATAATACAATTTACCTGTAAAATCAGGTTTTTGCCAAAGGTTTTTAGGTACAAAATAAAATTGAATCATCAACAAAAAAAAAAAATGAAGTAAGTATCAAATTTTTAATGCACACACACCCACACAAAGGTGTGATGAAGATTTGGGGGCCTAACCCAGAAGCCCTTCCTTCAAAAAAAAAAAAAAAAAAAATGATGTATAGTTATTTAGTTAAATATTGGGTTTGGGAAATCAGTCAAACCAAAAAATGTTTGTCTACACACACACACACTCCCAGATTAAGGTCTTTGTCAATGGCCCTCATGAACAAGTTCAAATTTTTAATTTCTTCCACATTTTCTGGCATTTTGTGAGTTTTTGGTTGTACCGAATACTTGCAATCTTGACTTAACAAGAAAATTCTCATTTTCAAATGTATGTATTTGTCAATCAGAAACTGGTGTTCCTCTTAAAGTCTGAGGATTTCAAGGACCTCAGTTTAGTTCAATTTTCTTCTATTGCTCTCTATTTGATTGACAATGGAGTTGGTTACTGTTTTCACTCTCTAACTTTGATTATGTCTGTACTCAAAAGGAGACTTGACAATTCTAATGTTTATACTCAAAAACCTAAATACAGACATTAGTTTTAAGGATATAAAATTACTTCACAGGATTAGCCCAGAAAAAAAATGTCCTATTGAATTAAAATGTTGGTTAAAAATGTATCTTGTTCCCTGATGGTTGTGAATTAGATTCAGGAAATCTGAAGTTGCCCATGTGGAAATTAATACCAGATAAATGATTGCTTGTTTGATGATTGTCAATATCTAACATTACACATGTTACTAGCAAACACATCTTGAAAAATTGGAATAGTTATCTGTTGTATTCAGTAAACTTGGAAATCTGAACTG